ACGCTCTGACGAAGAAGTCATTGCGTTTGATGCCGATATCGATAACATCGATATCGAAGAAGATGATGCCAGTGAGAGTGCGGAAGCCCTCACTGAAGACAATGATCCCAGTGAGAGTGCGGAAGCCCTCACTGAAGAAAAGGTTGTTGTCGCTGCAGTGCGCTCACAGCACACTGAAGCTAACGAGTCATCAGATGAGTTCATACTGGCTCGTGAAACGGTAGTCCGTTTTGTGCAAGACTCCATCGCCGAAGCGGTGGATAAGCAAAAGCAAAACGCTGACAAGAATGGAAGGGCAAACACTCTTTTATTTAATAAAGGTGACTTAGTCCTACTGTCTACGGTTAATCTACCAAAACATGTAGTGACTAACTTGGGTAGCAGTAAACTACTACCCAAGTACATTGGCCCATTTCGTGTATTGCACCGCCTAGGCAATGCATACACGATCGAGTTACCACGTAAGATGCGAACGCATCCCACGTTTTACGTTGGTCGGCTTAAGCCGTACCATCAGTACGCTGCTTCTTCCGATGAAGAACGCCCTTGCGCTCAAGCATCTCGCAGAGAGCCTTGTGCTCCCGATGGTGGGCATCAACAAGGGTCTGAAGAGCAGTTATCTCAGCCCGAGACCGATCAACAATCCCACGAGCTACCCTTAGCTCGTCACGAAGAGATGTCAGAGATCTCTCGTTCTCAAGCTGAGCAAAGGCAAACTCAGCTCGATGCTTCGAGGCAGTGTCCACCATCTGGAGACGCCTATTCCGCTCATGCTCGAGATCGTCGCGTAACCCTTGCGTTACGCGATCAAAGAAGCTCTCGGGAACACACCGATCCACATGATCGTGTGGAGAGCGTCTTTCCTCCTCCTCCACCTCCATTAGAGGACTCTCGCGGTGGCCAGCGCTATCTAGTTGAGCAGCTGTTGAACCACCGCGACGTGAACGGACGTCGGACGAGTTACCTCGTCCGGTGGCGCGGCTATCCCCCGTCCTGGGATTCTTGGGAGCTCCGCTCCCAATTGATGGTTGACGTACTGGGTCTGGTCGAGCAGTACGACGCGACACATCCTGTGCCGCAGAAGGACCGCCGGAGAAAGTCTTCCCGGCACGGTCGTAAAGGGATTTCAGGTTGTCAATCCCTTCGTACATCTCAGTAGAGACACGTACGCGCCACCACGGGCTGGTAAGGAGGTAAGCCTCCTTAGGTGCTCGTGCAGAGTTGTTCACACAACATGGGCACGAGTCTCCCCAAGAGAGGCAGGGTAATCCTTTCTCCCTTGACAGACGATGCAGCTTGTAGCGTGCACCTGTCGGGGTTCGCTTTTCAAACTTATCACGAGCTTTGATAAGTTTGTCGTTCCAAGCGTCACGACCTACATCCTCGAGATTATGGATGTAGGCGTTCCACGCCTGAAGTAGTGAGGGACCATCACGTTTGTGATTCCCACTGTACCATCGATGTCTGAAGAAAGCATCGATGAAGAACTCATGTTCAGCGCGATAGTCCTTCGCGCTGGGGTCAAGGTGATGAATCCTCGACGAATCGAACAATCGTGTTCGATAACGATCACTCGTCGTCGCCGACAAGTGATCCATGACAGATTTAGGAGGCATCCATGCCTTCTTTTCTGGAGCGAGACGCAACACATTGCGGTCCCGCTCTTCCTGCGACGTGCCGACAGAAGTACTGGCACCTCGCTGTGAAGTGGTGTCCATTGGAGAAACGACACCACTATTAGCGCCCGAGTCTCGCGACCTCGAGCGCCTTCGCTTCGGCGATGGTTCATCTGACTCATCAGATGAACCAAAGATGCTGCGACGCAAAGCATCGTCCATGCCACGCTTGGCAGGCGGCTTGGATTCAATTGCCGTCGATACGGATCCGTCATCCGTATCAGGAGAGTACGAGACACCGAGCTCGTACTCTGTGAAGACACGAGTGTCTTCATGACCAGCGCCTGCATCACCAGGTGATACAGGCTGAAGTCGATTCAGCAACCGATGGGACATCAGTTGCTGTAGTTTCTGCTTCGGCGTCCGCACAGAGACGTGCAGACGCGCTCTCGGCGGCCTTGCTCGCGCATCGCATGGGCTTGTTTACCATGCGATGAGATGTTGGAAAGTGGACGCGGACCGACAAGTGCAAACCCCGTCCCAAATGATTTGGGACGAGTATCCATTTAGTCAATCAGTCACTAAAGTGACTGATGGTTAAGGGGGGGGTGATGTAACGGGGTGAATCGTTACATAACAATTTATAAGAAATTGTTAATAGAATATAACTATAAGAGTTATATTCTCAGAATATTGTCATAAGGACAATATTCTGTAGCACTTCCAAGTAGTTCCTAATTGGTTGATATAGGCCATTATATCAACCAACGAAGACGCGCCACGACAGACGCACGCAATGAGTGGTGAGCAGATAACTGATTTACACATTTGTATTTAGACATAGTTAGATGAAGATAAATAGTGATTTATTGCAGACATTAACTATTATAAATACAGTTCTACTTTTTACTCTAACCGAGTACTCGCTTCTTCTTACCGTCTTCCTCTGCACGTACGAGTGTACGTGAAGTTACGAGGCACCGCCTTATTCTGTCATCAGAATAAGTAGCTTGTACTGTCACCAGTACAAGCTTCAGGGTGCCCCGTTACAGTTGGCTTGTTGAATAAGTCTTCCTCTGACTTAAAGAGCTGTGTAGCTCCGCTACAGTAAGGGTTTTCTTAGCCTGGTGTGTCTGTCTAGGTTGTCTGTCTATCTTAATTTGCAACAACAGCCAAATTCACCTAGTGGTTTGTATCGACCATCGGGTACTTTCGCTTCGCTTCAGCACGAAGTACTCTCATTCTTGCTTATTAAAATTTGCGACGTTGCCATCGATGGTGACGACCGCTAATAGGAACATTTCTCAATTTCTTTGGACCCACAGGCTTGCAAAACGATTACTGCTCACTAAATGCCACAGCCGAGCCCATAATCTTGCTTTTCTTGTTTTTCGTCAGCAACGCAACGAAGTATACGTTCCTCGACCACGGCCGATAGCCCCGGCGCTATAGTGACGCATTATGGTACACCCTATGTTATCTATCAAATAGCACTTCGAGTGATCAGGCCCAAGTATTCTACAGCTCTTTCCTAATTTTAGTAAATTGTAGCTCACTACACCACCAACGTGCGCCACGAAAGATGTGGCGAGATGCAAAGGGAGTCGCAGAAAGAGTAATCCCACGCTAGCTAACACGTGGTGGCTGTGGGCTCATCATTGTCCACTGGTATCTAATTGTAGATTGTAAGTGTCCTAAGCGAAATTGCTGCGACACGAGCAAGCCACAGCTCAGAGACTCTCCGAAGTGCCTAGAAGACATAACCACTACGTGAATTTGTGCGCGACCTTGGCCCCATTACTAAAAATCGACTAACAGAGTAGCAGGCAGCTTGAGTCAGGCGGCTAGCGGTGCTCATGCTCGGGGCAGATTTGTGTATGCGTTTTTCTCGGAAGCTACGACGTTCCTGCTGAGCGATGTATAAGCCTGCTTCGGTCAATCATCTGTAAAACAAGCCGTACCCTTCGGGATAAAAACGAAGGTGTGTTGTGCATTATTTTATCCGTAAGACTTACTTGTGCGAATGATATTCAGATCAATAATTATGCGCACGACACGGACACCTCAACAAGAGCCAGCCCACCAAATTAAAGCGACTCGCTCGAAACCCTGGTGTGCATGGTTACGGACACACCACAGCGCGTCTGGATTTGACGAGCTGAGGAGTTGAGTTAGCACACCACAGCACGTCAGGATTTGACAAGCTGAAGAGTTGAGTCAGCACGTTCTTAGCAACAAACTGCGGCGTTGCATTCAACTGTGCGATCGATCGTTGAGTGTGGAAATGACCTTTGATGCGATTGTACTCGTACGGTCGAAATTGGCACACAGCGCTCTACAATGCAATGCGCGAGTGGATTGGCGTGTCGCTCATCGTCTCACAAAGCCAGCTCAGCAAAAGAAGGGGTAAGGGCGGACAATCGACAAAGTGTCCTGGACAAGTGTCCCGAGGCAAATGGCGCATGCGCTGGACCCACACATGTGGGGTGCCACCCAAGAATTATTGCCACTCAAGCTGCACCTACGTTGTAGTTGAACAAAGATCTTCTGATTTGATCGATAAGCTTCGTAGCTTGCTGTCGTCATGACCGAAATAGGCAGCAGATGTCGGAAGAGTAACGCGTTCGCATGCTTGCAGGGCAAAACATCCCAGTTTTTCGCGTCGATACTTCGACCAAGTCAAAATCTAGCTGAGCCTCACTCCTATTTGACAGGCCGCACGTGTCTCTTCTTCGATATCATCGCTCCACAGGGACTGGTGCTGACCGCAGAAGTGGTATGTTCCGACCCTGACATGCGACACTTCACCCGGCAATGCCAATTTGACAAGACCTGAGCTCCACTGCATTCATCACCGACGACATTCACTTGTCTGCCATGTGGTTAGTTTGATGGGCGCCCCAACCCAACCCAACCCAACCCAGATATTCACTCCTCCTCCTCGTACCGGTATGCTGAGCTCGGTGTGCCAGGTGGCACTGACGCGTCGCACTGAACTCACCGGACCGTAAACGTCCACAGGGCCTCGGTAAGAGTGAATCAGGGATAGGCGTCGTCGTTGTGCTGGAGCTCTGCGAGTCCACTAAAAAGCCGGTTTCTGGCTACCAAACCTCGTCACTCGGTCATTTTCGCACTCGAGTTCCATCAGGACCACCTCGCTCTCCCGGGCAGGTATTCAATCCGTCATCCATCCGCCCTCCATTCACTTTTCGCTCATTCGTTCGTTCGTTCGTTTGTTTCGCTCGCTCGTTCGTTTGTTCGTTCGTTCACGGCGCAAACAAACGCTGGCCTCTACTTCACGAGCCAACAGCTGGCTTGTCTTTTCCGACCTCACCTTCCACTCGAAGTTATACCTTTCAGCAGCACCTACCTAGGTAGTCAATCATGACGCTCGGCGGTCCAGTCAAGCAGCAGCTCGAGGCCGTCAGTGGGTATGTATACCCGACGGACGGCGCCTTGGTGGTTGTCAGCACCAAGAAGAAGGCAGCACGTCAGTACCTTTTGCACAGCTACCGCCATCGCAGTGCCAAGGTCTGGTGCTTCCTCGGTCACAAACTGGCAGCGATCAAGACGGTGAAACAGCGCAAGAAGTTTTTTGAGATCGTGGCGTCGGGGGACGTGCTCGAAGTCAGGGAAGCGCTGGATGCCGGTGCAGACGTTATGGAGAAGAACTCGTTGGGCCACTCGCCCCTCTACGTCGCGGCTGCCAATGGCTTTGACCACGTCTTGATGCTGTTACTGGAACGCGGAGCTGATGTTAATGACGCAGCGCTGGATGGCACGACGCCCATGCATGTCGCATGTGAACACAAGCACCACTGTGTGGTCAAGATCCTGCTCAAGTACAATGCACGTTACAACGTGGTCACACGCAGTGGGTACTCTCCGCTGCATCTCGCAGCTAAGCGCGGCCACTCGGATATTGTGGCCGTTCTGCTTTCGGCACGGGCAAAGTGTGACGTCCCAGTGGGGGATACCACCACGACAGCCTTACTGCTGGCTTGTATGGCTGGGCACGCAAATGTCGTCGAGCGACTGCTAGATGCTGGCGCGGATCCACAAGTTGAAGACAAAGATGGCAATACTCCGCTGCATTTTACAAGTCGCAGTGGGAACTACCGTGCCACGTACCTTTTGCTGACTGCTGGAGCGGACCCGGATATGCCGAACGAGCGGGACGAGACGGCATTTGACATTGCCGAGCAACAAGGTCATTCACACGTGCAGTATCTGCTCGAAACGAATGGTCTGGGCGTGAACGGTCAGACAGTGGACGAGATGGACATGGCCTGCGCGCAGGACGATCGTCTCAGCGAGGCGTTGGCTTGCAACCGACCGGAAATCTCGGAGGTTATTGTCAAGCTGCACATGAAGTATGCATGCTTTCTTGCGCTAGGTGCGCTTCCTGAAGACAAAAGCGTGACAGAGTTTCCGGAGAACACGAGCCAGCTGATGTCCTAAGCATGCTGTTACTTTGAAGCGCTGTACGTATGACGACGTACCGCCAATCGAGTAGAAAAGGAAAGCGGTGCTTACGCTTATTGAATCCAGCATAGTGTCCAGAACGATCCCAGCGACCGAAGCAGGAGCAGGACACACACGTTTTGTGTGATTTGTTTGCAGATGTTGAAAAGGTGATGTGATGTACACGTGAACTGCCATGTCGTTTCATCTTGATGCAGTGATAGTTCTGTCGCGTGCAGTATAAGATCTTCGGACGCAACCATTCCACTTGGTCAGTACAATTTCTTCCAGCCGTGCGAGCTCGTAATCGTGACTTGTTGAGCTGACTGCTACGTGAGCATCTGAATACGAATGCTGTAGCTGATCTTGATGCGTCACAGTTAACTTGCACTGTTGAGCTGATGGAAAGACCTGGATCAATGAACCGAGCATTGTGCTTGAGTTCTCGCGTGTACGTAGGTATACGAAGCACATGACAACTGCCGATATCGTTTGTCTTCTTTACGCAATAGTGATGACGTTGTTGTCTTTGCGTTGTGACCCGCAAAACTCGGGGGAATTTAGCCCTGTTTTACGAGCATCCGTCGTGGATACTGCCCATGCGTAATTCCAAGACTCGGACAACTTGTGACAGAGCGTCTGCGGTGTTTTTGGCCGCTCTAGATCAGCAGCACTCGTTACCCTGATGGCAGCACTGAGAGACGTCAATATCGTGGTTGACTTCCGAATGGTGCTTTCACAAGACTCACCTTTCCTCTGCGGTCGCTTCTCCGCCTCGATCCTGTTGTACATGTCTTACATTGAATAGCTGAACTTCGGTACAGCTCGTGAATGGCAAAATCCTGCCAAACATCGGTCGTTGTCGGTACAAGAGACTTAAAATCTAGCAGTAGAAAAATGCTTGCCACATTAGGATGACGCAAAAAGCTGCGGCCACTTGCTGTATCTATAAAGCCCGTTACACTTCGTTTACTCCTTTCATCTTCTCCACCGTCGCTTTTGCTCTGAGTCTTGTGTCCTTCGTGTTATTCGAGTCTTGATCGTGCAAGAGATGAGGTTTGCCATCAGCAATGGATCGTTCGAATCGATGACGCCAGTACGATACTCAGCGCATGTGTGAAGAGCTAGTATGTTTCTTAATTACTCGCAGTGGTACTGAATTCGAGTCCGGTGTTGAACAGCAAGCAGTTTGTTACCAGGTCCTGTTCACTTCTGGCACAAAGCATCATACGCGCGCAGTGTTATATCACTCAGCGCTAGTGTCTCTACACGATTGTGGTCGACATCCGTCTTTCATGTCGATCTTTTACTCATTAGTGTATCATATAGCCGACTCAACGAGATCCACAACTACTCCGACGCTACTAGCCTTGTCGGACCCGCAAGTTCCACGGTGTTTCATCATGAAGCCGTGCAAAAAGACAAGATGCAGTTGGTTAGCTGGTAGAAAAAGTGACCTGCTTGCAAGGGAATCGAAACGAGTTTCAAGTGCTACATACACATCACTGCCTTAACGTCCAAAGTCGGTCTCCTACATCGGCCTGCTGCCTGACCCTGAGATTGAAACTTGAAAGATGGCTCTAGACATCGACAGTGGTATGCAATATCCAGTCCGGATGGGCTAAAATCAAGCATGATCCAAGGGTGGTGAACACGTGGAAGGATTCGTTGTAGGCATACTCTCGTCCATCATCACTAAGTCGTCAGCCCTGCTCCTAAAATGGCACTGCAGTGTTGTATGAATCGCCAATCTGCAGAGGTTTGGAAAGAAGGGGGTGTTCCAAATGTCAGCACAATGTTATCATCTAATATATTCAGATCTAAGATCGACACGGCATGTACTGCTAGCTAAGTATCCTGTGGGGGAGTGCATTCATACCGCGATATCCGCAGCATGAATGGGTCATCCTTTTGTTCGAATGGCCAGTTACAGACAGCAGTTCAAGCTCCAACCTGGTTATTTCAGTACATACCGAAAAGGTTTCGAGATTATCGTAAAGCATCACGATAATATAGAAATTCGGAGGCTTTCCGAACGACATTCGGCGCACACGCACAGCAACACCGCATCGTCTCTCGTGGCGTGTCAGCTCGCAACATAAACATTTCTGCAGCACCATCTGTTTTCCAGCATCAATCCTCTCGGTCCTAGACTAGCAACTAGAAGCTCATCATCGGACCATCATTCCGAACACTCGTCATCGATCCTGTAGCCATCTCCATTCTCCGCCACCCAGTCGTAAGTAGCGCGTATCTCCCTCCTCCTCCTCCTCCTCTTCCCTCTTCTCCTCAGTGCACAGCATGACGCCATTCGACACTGTCGATGCCAAGTACACGCTCGGGATCTGCGTCATGGAGCGCAAAGCCCGCTCCGACCCGATGCTCGAGATCCTCAGTCGCCTGCCGCCCTCTCTCTTTCGCGTCGACTTTTTTGGTGACGACACGATTTTGAACCAACCAGTGACGGCCTGGCCACGTTGCGACGCGCTCGTTGCTTTCTTTTCCAAAGGATTTCCCCTCGAAAAGGCACAAGAATATGTGACACTCCGTCGTCCCGTCGTTGTGAATGACTTGAACACGCAATACATTCTAAAAGACCGTCGTGAGGTCTACCGCGTGCTTTTAGAGCACGATGTACCCACTCCTCGTCACGTGTTCCTAAATCGAGACGGTTACGGCGGTCAGATAGAGCCACCAGAAGTTGTGGAAGGAGACGACTTTATTCAGGTAGACGGGGTCCGGATCAACAAACCCTTTGTGGAAAAACCCGTGGACGGCGAGGACCACCACATCCACATTTATTACCCCATGAGTGCCGGTGGGGGCTGTAAACGGCTGTTCCGTAAAATCGGTAACCGATCGAGCGAGTACGATCCACACGTTAACACCGTGCGAGCAGGGGGTGGGTCGTACATTTATGAGGAATTCCTGTCCACTCAAGGAACGGATGTCAAAGTTTATACAGTAGGACCCCATTATGCCCATGCAGAAGCTCGTAAATCGCCTGTACTGGATGGTCGAGTTGTGAGAGATGTGGACGGGAAAGAAGTGAGGTACCCAGTGATGCTGTCAACGGAGGAGAAGCAGATTGCCTATCGAGTGTGCCGAGCTTTCCGACAGACGATCTGTGGCTTTGATATCCTGCGAGTGCGGGATGCCTCGTACGTCTGTGACGTGAACGGCTGGAGCTTTGTCAAGAACTCGGAAAAGTACTATGATGACTGCGGTATTTTGCTGACCCAGTACCTTGCTCAGGCACTAGCTGGTGCCACAGCTGGTGAAGACTTTGGCACGGACAGCTCTGCTTTTAGTTCCGTTACTTTCCGCTTTGCGCCGAATGCTCCTCCTCCAAGTGCACAGCTGTCGGAGCCACCAACAGCACACCGACATGCAATGCTTCGTGGACCATCGACTTCCATCGCTGAGTCGGAATTGTCGGAAGCTGACAGTATCACGGATGGAGACGAAGATACAGCGTACCAAGAGGAAGAGTTGCGCTGTGTCCTGGCAGTCATCCGTCATGGCGATCGCACACCCAAGCAGAAGATGAAGATGAACGTCTGCCATCCAGCTTTTCTCCAATATTACGAGGACTGTCTGCGTGGGTCCCAGCAGGAAAACGAAGATAAAAGTGACACGACGAAGAAGAAGAAGAAGAAAATGGATATCAAGATCAAAGCCGTGGCGAATCTAGAGCGTCTACTGCAGGTGAGTAAGGATTTGCTGCACAAGTACGAAACGCATGATCCGGCATTCATGGACTTCTTGGAGCAACGCGAGGTCGAATTCGGCGAGGATGCCACAGATCGTGTCAAGGGATATCGAACCTTGCGGGATGTATTGCAGCGCTGGCAACTTGTTGGTATCAATCGCAAGGTGCAACTGAAGCCAAAAAGTTTCGCTGACGTGCCTGTTGAAGGTACTACCGAGAACGGAGAACAGCAGACGACACACCGTGTTATCAAATTGCTGCTGATTATCAAGTGGGGAGGCGACCTGACGCACACTGGTGAAGAACAGGCCGAACACCTCGGTCAGAAATTTCGGCGAATGATGTACCCGGGCGGTGCCGGAGGCTTAAATCGCCTGCATTCCACGTACCGCCACGACCTAAAAATCTATACGAGCGACGAAGGGCGTGTTCAGAAAACTGCAGCTTCGTTTGCAAAGGGGCTGCTGGAACTTGAGGGAGACATCATTCCTATCTTGGTCGGACTTGTGTTAAAGTCCAAGGATGCAGACTCGATGCTGGACCAGTCGGGATCTTCCGCACAGGAAATCATAATGCGTGTGAAGCAGCGTTTGCACAATATCATTCACCGCGAAGATCATTGCAGCCAGCTGATTGATTCAAACTCGCGACTTATTCGCTCTGTGGCACTTGCACTTACGAAAGTCGATCAACCTATAAAAAAGATGGGGATCATGCACAAATTGCTGCACTTGCTTAAGGAGCAACTCACGCGCATGATTCAGGAGAAGGCGCAGTATCGCACGGAGATACATATGGACCAGACAACAAGATCTACTGCTGGCCGACTACCAGCTCCTGTCATGGGTCGATCTGCCAGCGTGAATGAGCTGAGCCAACCGAAGTGTCACCACGTGCACTCGTACGCCCCTCAGAAGAAACACAGTGAAGGCAAGAACATCACAAGTGATGCTGCAAACAGCAGTGTGGGTCTGCGCAGAATGCGGCCACCGCAAGAGTCGTTGCCTCTAGAGGATACCAAGTATCCTGAACCTTGCGGACGTGAAACTCTGGAGGTGATGCGCGAGCGGTGGGCAAAGCTGTACCGCGATTTTTACGTGAAAAAGCGCGACACGTACGACCTGTCCAAGATACCGGACATTCACGATTGTATTCGGTACGACGCAGTTCATAACGCGCATTTAAACTTGACGGACGTGCGCGAGCTCCTGGAGATTTCAAGCGCGTTGTCTCACGCACTCGTGCCGCAAGAATACGGAATCGACGTGGAGGAGAAGATATTCATCGGGTCAGCTATGTGCCGAACGCTGTTGTCGAAGATCAACACTGACTTGGACTTGGCTCGTGGCCTGCAACCCGATTTACTGAAGGATCACAACACTCACCGGCTGAACCCTTCCTACGCGAAGAAAGTCAAGTCGGCACACCGTTCCGTGCGCACACGCTTGTACTTCACAAGCGAATCGCACTTGCACTCGCTATTGAACGTCTTGCGATATGGTCGGGACGAGTGCACGATCAAGAGCCCGATCGGTGAAGAATCCCGGAAGTGGATCGAAGACATACCTGAGCTTTGTTACATGACCCATTTCGTCGTGCGCGTTTTTGAGCGTATCCAGCACTCGCTTGAAGACCCTCAACGCTTCCGTGTCGAGATTTCCGTGTCTCCTGGTGCCGACCAAGACCCTCTTGTTTCTGATCCGGAGAAACAGATTAAGGTCGCGCCATTGAAAATCATCTCGCGCGAAGGCCTTACTTGCCAAGAACTGGTCGACTATGTTACTGACTGTATCGGCTATGCCGAAGAGAACGAAGTGAAGGAGACGATCAGTCAAACGGTAGCGAGCAAGTGCCATGGCAGCGCCGATAACACGGCGGGAGACAGCAGCAGTGGGGACGCTACACCGGGGAAGCGTTCGATTTACTCGCTTAGCGACAACAGCAGCGACAGCAATTTCAGCAATGATAATTGACTCTAGTGCAAGCTCGGCACTCGCAATTGCAATGAGGCGTAAGGCCAGGAAGTAAGCGCTAATCCATGAAACCTGTTACCCGTTGTTCGTTCGTGTGCTTTACTCGCGTACGCACCTCAAGTTTACAGAGCGTATTCCATCTCACTTCAACGCTTGTTTCCACGGAGGCCTCTTCCTTCGAATCAAAGCTTATCATCGATCTCGGCACTGAAACTCACAGAGCTTACCCCGTCACAAGCTATTTCAGTGAGAATTATCTCGCCAATGTAAGGCCACGATGGCCGCTGCACGCACATGTCCACGTCTATCAAATCGAACGCGGCATTTGACTTGAACCGCGATACCGGAGCGTGCCAAAGTTGAGATCAAAAGCTTCTCGCGGCCAAGCCTAGTGAGCCATTCTACCCCAACACTGCTTCGTACACTCGACGACGTGAGCCCAAGGTATCATCACGGTGCAGCACATCCGTTTGGCCACACATCCATTCCAAATGCCGCTGACGAAATACTATCAGGTGATCTTGGCACGCTGGGACTTCCGTCACCAGAATGGCGACGTTGAGCTCCTTTCGAAGATCAGGGGGAACAGCATGTGAGCTCCATTTAAGATCACGAACGCACTGCTGGACAGGCATGAGCAAGGTGATCGAGGCAAAGAGACGCTGCCATTCTTGCTCCCACCAGCTTCAATATACAACTGGAATCGCTGCTGCAGTGTCTCGTCTTTAAGTCCATCGTTGAAACGCCAGCACACCATCACCACGATCAACGATCGAACCTCACGTGTGCTTCAGCATCGCGTACCTTGTTCTCGTGCAGTAATCGGCAACAGACCCATGTCGTCTTCCTTTCTCGTTGACGCTGCTCTCATGTACTTACAGCACTACCGTTGGCACGATTGATACCACTTTGTGCTTGCCCTTTCAAGTGTGTAATTCCAGTAGTACGCTTGACGTCTAGCGACATCAAACCAGCGTCTTGCTGCTTGCTGCCTTCTTAACGTCTTCTGCCTCGCATGCGTTTTCCTCTTCGTAGGCCCACGACGCCAGCAGGTTTACCTCCATACCTTGCTGTGCTGCCTGTAAAACCGTCCCACCTTCTTTTGTGTCGTCCCCGTTACTCAGCACAACGCACGCATGGGCAAAAGCACAGCGTAGACGACCGAGTGCGCGTCTAGAACAGAGCAATCCCAGGTCGCGCTCAGTTTCCACTGGATCTTCAAGACACAGACGAACGTCGTTTTGACGAGACCAGCCCTTATGGGTCTTTGTCATGACATCAACTGTCCGCAAGCTCACTACAGTGTGCTCATAGTCGAAGTGACAAGTGTAGAAACAGAAAAAGCCACATCGAAGTGCCAACCAATCGTACACCTTGTTTTCTGATTCTCCAGTACCGACAAATCGCTTGTCAACAGCTTCAAGGCGTTTGTCGATATCATTCCCAGACAGTGCACGTAACGAAGAGCCATCTTCCACAACGTGTGAGCTGCAGTCGAGTACGGGCAAGACACTAACACGCTGAAGGTAGTACAGCGCAAGCAACGTGAGTCCATACGAGCTCACAGCGCTACCAATCACACGCGCTTTGGTCTGGCGCCACTTACGGAGCCATCTACACAGTTGTCGCACATGCTGAAGCTGCCTTCTTCGCTCTGACGAACGTGTGTCAGCACCACCGTACATCAGCCATCTTATAAGACGCGTGTTCCATAATGCAGGCACGTTGTTAACGCAAAGATCGCATGGCAATGCGGTTGATGGATCTCGAAAGCGAACAATGGGGATTCGTGCCCCCCTTACTGCAGAAACACTGCCTTCCATTCCATCCGTGATGTCATGCAGAAGATACAGACTCAAATGGTCTTTGACTTCCGTGACCAAGTCCGCCGTTTCCTGGCGGAACTGTGGTGCCGATGGCAACAGAGCGCAGAGATCGACATCAGCAGGTTTTTGATTTGCTTCATCAGGGTTCGGCAGGAGACCAGTGACGGAGGAACCAAATACTTCCACACGCGCATCTGGCCACATCAGACAAAGACATTCTTGTACACGCCAGGCCAGTCGTTGCCGGATCTGCAGCTCCTTCTCATTGTCTTGATCGACTCTTAGACACTGGTTCTCTTCATCATTTCCAGCACTTGCTGCAAAATGGACATCCATCTGATCGGCAAACGCTTTCGCGTGCATCGGCACCAGATGCAGCAATTTCCCAGTCCGTAGACACTGCGTCACTAGTGCTCGTTGCAGTCTCCTGCCCCGCTCCCGCTTGTCGTGCATCTTGACATCGTCTGAAGCGGTCGGGTGCAGCATCAAATGCACCGCTGCCTTCACCGCCATCTTGTGCTCTTTCTTCTCCACTGACTGCAGCATCCAGGGCCATACAAATCGGTCCAGACGCTTGCTCGTGGCAAGTGTTTCTTCCTCCAATTCCACGAAAAATTGCGCCAGGAGCAAGGGAGAAACCGCCCCACTCGACGTCACCGCAGACACCAGCTCTTCATCACGGAGATTCAGGCGCTTCGCATAGTGCGCCGCGGCTCGGGGGGCCTCTCGTTCCTGCAAAAGCACGCGGACAACAGTCGCCCGTGCTTCCAGTGTACCCATTTGCTGGGCGAGACTTTGCGCTGCGTCCCATTCGTGACTGGAGCTGCCCTGAAGGAGCTGGAGCAGATTCTCAGACGATACAGCAACGTCCGTGGATCGGGCCAGACGCTCCGTCTTGGACTTGCGACGCCCGCGACTCTTCTGGCGCTTGCGGGGCGGCGCGGTCATGAGGAAGCGTCGGGTGGTCAATCACTTGACTGGCAGTCAAGCTGTCATGTGATTGGTTGATATGACTGCCCGCTTGATTGTTGCGAGGTCTTGGTGTTTATTAGGAGCTGATGTCGTAAATACGGGTAAGTGACAGGAACGTCGACAGCGGCTGTTCTTACTTCACGTCGTGTGAAATAAAGTGCTTTGTTGTGATCAGCTCTCGGTTGTTTTTTCTCGGAAGCTGAAAAGCTAAATCGATGTCCGATCGATGTGGGATAAGGTCATCGGAGCGACTTGACCGATCAAGAAGTTCGTTGCTGCAATATGGCTGTACAGGTTATCGTCGACTTCTGACGATTCTCACGGATCCATAGAAGTGTATAAGATGGCTTGATGCGCTCGGCGTTTCATGTTAGTAAAAAGCGGTGATGAAAGTACTTGGTTTAGAGTTGGGGTGGTGTGCAGGAAAGAGTGTTAAACATGTTGTGATCACATCATGTCTGCCACTTTCTGTCGTCCTTTTCACGGATTCAAATGGGACTCTCGGGCTTCTTACATTTAGGTCCCTTACTACAGCTCGATACGTCGGCTTCTACTACTTTAGTTTGAAGGGGCGACTGTTTTTCTCTGCACGATTAGAATTCATGTCCATAATCAATGCCAAGCATTTTCGGTCCTGTTGGGATGCTGTTCGCTCGCTAATGCACAAGATCAGAGCCATCGAAACAATCTTCTCTTTGCCACTTGCAGACCGTTCCAGTATCAACACTCGATTCATACGTCCGAAACGACTTGAAAGCTCTTGTTAAGTACTCCGGTCATCTTCAGCGACCCAAATCACTTCCGACTATCGATCTCAGCTCACTTGCGACGTAAGGCCGACTTGAATAAAACAAATCAGATACCGGATCAAATGGTCGTCTCATGGCACTTGTCTGTCGCGAACGTACGTGCTGGCTCAGACTTGTCTTCAGATTACTCACGCATACTCCGAAAGTACATCCAATGCGAGACCGAGCTTCTGGTATGTGAAGAGTCTATTTAATATTGTCCGCCACAACACCCCTACCGACTGCTATGACATAAAAGGTTTCCATTCGATTGAAATCCATTTATGTACGGCCAAGAGCTCAGCTGCGCATCCGAGGCGAAACTTTACGACCTACAATCGCACCATCAAAGCTCACTGTCACTTCAATTCGTTCTTTCGTACCATTAGCGTTCAATTAACCAATCTCGACCTTTTAGTGTTGTTTTTTCAAGACGCAAGAGACCAAATCGTCTCTAGACTCTATAAAAATCGAATCCCAATCTCTACACCCCTAAAAGAACAACATCCGCTTTAATCTCCGTCAACCCCGTAATGTCAGCTCATTTCTCGCCGCTTTAAAAGCTTTACACACGGCGTATCTCGACCCCTTTAACGAAAAAAATAGCGTGCAGCATACAGCACTCTATTCCACAGCTTCAACGGCTCCGTCCTATTGAACCTGCACACATCATCCACTTGACACATTCGGTCACTTGCCATGGAGCGACTCCATCGCCGCGACCGCTCCCGTGACCCCGGCAGCGACGCGGGCAGCACCACCACCAGCACCACCGCCAGCACCCGCCTCCGCAGTCGCCGTATCCGCGACACCCGCAGCTCCGCAGTGGAGGATTCCGCTTCCGAAGACGTCGATACCGACGCGAGTTCAGGGAGTCACAAGGACGACGCGTCAACGCGCCGTCCACGACGCCTCATGGCGTCACGACAGATGACAGACGAGACACGACGGAGCTCTTCTTGCCATTCGGACGTTGATCGACGCTCGTTGCGGTCCGGGGACGAGGGGGACGGAGGAAGAGCAGCAATGGACGAGGAAGAGAGGGAGAGCGGGGAGGAAGAGACGGGGAGTGAGGACGAGCTGGAGGAGGAGATGAAGGGAGAGGAGAAGTACGGACGGTCCATGTCGATTGTGTCTGCGACGTCGTCGACGTCTTCGTTGGCTCTTGAGCCTATGACAGAAGAGCAGCGACGGGAACGTCTGGACCGACAAGTAGCGGAGCTGGAGCAGAAGAAGAAGATGGTAGAGGACGGCACGCTCGCCGAGTTTTGTCGTCGCGTGGCGGCGTTCAAAGAAGAGCGCAATCGACTGTTGCAGACGGCCGAGCTCCACAAGAACCTGCAGCTGAAAAATGGACAGGATCTCTACCACTTTGAAGTGCAACGGGCTCATCATTTGTGGCAGAACGACCGCAAAGTACTTAAGGAAGAGCTACTGACGAAGGTGGGTGCTATCCTGCTGAAAATCCAGAGGGAGATCAAGGTGTTGTCTGAGCTGGGAGCAGCGGGTGCAGAAGCTCGCCGAACGTCTCGTTTGAAACGAGGTGTGCGCCACGCGTTCACTGAGAAGCTTGTCCGTGTGACTGAGGATCGTAACGCATTGGAGCGCAAGATGGCGAAAGATTCCGAGCAGGAGGAAGGCGAAGTGATTGAACCGTCACTACCGTGTGCGACCAAAGAAGTGGTGCTTGCTAAGCGACGCAAGATGGACCCGACGACAACTGCCGATCCAGTGGATGTGTCACAGCTGCTCGCAGTAGAGGTCGTTCGGTTGCCGTTCGACGACGTCAGTTCCGACATAGCTGCTGTCGTGGGCGATTGGAAGAAGACGGCACAATCGATGGTGGCGTGCTCACCGAGCATGGGCGAGCGTAAGAGGACATGCGTTATGGTGATTAAAGTTGCGCTGCTGTTCGGACGTGACCTCACACGTTGTGTTTTGTTACTGTTGCAGAGCCCTTCAAGCTTGAACGGCGACGGTTGTGTTGCGGCAACTACATTTTCGAAGATGGTGACGAAGTACATGTTTCGATGCCGCTCGTACAGGGAGATTGCACGGGCATCATTTCGTCCATTACGGACACCGCAATTTACATCAAGCTCGCATCGGGCCAAAAGGCACGCATCTTTCTACCACACCTCGAGCGTCGGCGTTGCGAGCTCAAGCCGTTATTGCGCGCCAAACCACTCACGGGCAGCTTGCACAGCATGGGTTGGTCCGAGCACGACACGTTTTACTAGGTCGATGCGGTTGTAGACCACATGAGGTGCTCAAAGTCTATGCTTTTTCCGAATGTGCATGTACTTTACTTTGTTGTCGTTTACCATGCTAGACGGCAACAATACTTGCTCGTTCGACCCGATGCAAAATAAACTTGATGTGCCCATGTGTGCACGCCATCCCCATGTGGCGGCAAATGTACGGTAGTACTCCGCTGGTCCATAACTCCCATCGGTCATGGATCCCCATAGCGAGCACATTATTTTACGAAATGGCCAGCCTCAATACTGCGCAGCTTAACTGCCCCCGCTAGATAGCATCTTGATCAAGTCCGCGTTTCGGTCACGCACACTTCCGCTCAATCCCCTCTCTTCGTCTGTGTCACTGTCATCGTGGTACTCTGCAGTATCGACCGAATCCGATCGATCGCTGCCCATGCGGCCAAAAGTCCCAATGACACCACTGCCGACCCCTACAACGAAGCGTTTGAAGCCAAGCGCTCCGCTAAGCGCCATCGCAAGTTGTTTCTTGGCCGAAGATTTACGCACATCGACGTCCATGTCGTCTGCGTCGTGACTGTAGAGATGCAATCGCCGCCGCTTCAAATCGCCACGTGGCTGAGCACCTCCCGGAATGATCTTCTTCCGAAAGCGAATCTCTGGAGACCTGATTTGCGACAGCGAGATGTAGCCACCCGATGCGCTCGCAGGCGGTGCAGTACTGACGTTGGAGCTTGCGACCAGTCCAATTTGAGCTGGCAGTGACAACGGAGCCGAGAGGGGCGGAGGCGGTGGAGGCCGTGTGTCCATATCACTATTGCTGCAGCCACTCGACGCAGCAATCGTCGTCAAATTGCTCGTCAACAGCACCGGCACTGGCAGTGTCGAGCCGGTGGCCATAGTAGCGAGATCATCAAGGTCTGGACGTAGAAACGCCCGAAAGGCTGCACTCCACTGAAGCTCTGGACGAGCATCGACAGCTCGTAAGAAACGTTCCAGTCTCTTGCGTCGATGGTACAGCAATCTCGGGTCGTCTCCACGCAGATAGGAGATCCATCCTCCGTCTGGGAACTTTGGCAGCGCGTCGCGCAGTGCCAAGCCATGGGTCTCCACCAAGTAATTGTACAGCCGACGAAAGTCAGTGTATCGTCTCATGACGGTGTATCGCACCATCGGCGGCAGCTCTGGGTACCCTTGACTCGACTCTCTACCAGCAGTTTCTGGATCGGTATTTCGGCGACTTTGCAGCCTTAAATCCAGCCCAGAAGCGGTCGAAGTGCCGCTCCGGAAGCTGCACGCGCGCACGTCCAGCACTTCGATGTGGTACTGCCAACTCGTGTTTCGACGAGTTACGCCCGTGATTTGAAGGTCTCGACTGGCTGCGACAGTGGATCGACGTGATAATGGACGTGGTGGTAGTGCAGCGGTGAGGGCACGCTCCCGTTTGATGGTTGGACGCATGACGACGAGGTGGGGAGGTGGCTCGGGAGAAGTTTGCTAGTGAAGTGGGTAGTGCGTCTCGAGAGATACAACCGGTTAGGCGAAAGAGAAGAAGAGCCGGAGGATCGACTGAACGTACTGGGGCAGAGTGGAGTGGAGAACTCGACGACTGGTGGCGTGGCTAAAGGAGACCTCACGCACCAGCGCTTGTTGTGTCAGGCACGATTTTTTTCTGGTTCCGTGCGTTCGGACTATGTAACCCTGGGGGGTATCCGGTGAGAACACTCTCGTTAAGTTCGCTTGTGGTTGACTGGGTACGATTGGTAAGTACGATGTGCCCGGTAAATCACATGCGAACTTAGTGACAGTGGACGGCTTAGAACCCAAGCGATTCAAGATGCCTCGACGATCATCGAGACTGTCCTCTTCGGAAGCTGTTTGCGGCGCCCCTACCGCACGTCAACTTGCCACAGCGATCCTATCTGAACCTCCATCAAAAGAGGTATGCAACCATGTATCATTGTACCACGGGCCGCTGTCTAACGCTGATGTGACTGTCGCTTCCATGTGTCTCTCTGGCGCCAGTCTCTTGATAACGTCGCTGCGCTGTATGTATCGTACTTAAGTGGAGAAAACAGCGACAGAAAGACACTCGAGTGCTTGGAAGAACTAGAAGCTGTGCAGTTCCTTGAGCGCGCGTTGTGGCCGCTCGTGGACGTCGTCTCGACCGTTCGTGACTGTCACCACGATGTAAAGAAGGCCTACTTGGTGTCGGTGCTGCTAATTGTGGGATTTAAAGCTCGGAGAAGAGATGAAACGTCCGGTGCAGGTGGCTCTACTGGGGTGTGGTCATTCCTTAGCAGCGAAGACCAGGCCTGGAAGGCATTTTTGACGACTTTATGGACAGTAGTAGAAGAAGCAGATGCTGCAATGGAGGACGACGCTAAGTGGACACTCAAAGAACAAACAGCACTGACACAGTTTCTGGTCACGTGCTTTCAAAGCCTGGATGTGCCGCAGGTTGCTTCGTCCGTGCTGCAGATGACGTCTTTGCCTCTTTGGACGGCACTGTCACCGAACCAACGGGCGCTGGAGTTCCAGATGTACCCGAAGCTTGAGCGACACTGGAATCGTATCATGTCCGACTCTGCTAAGATTACGACGGAAAAGCAGAAAAAGTCGACGAAGAACAAGCGCCGCAAAGTGCAAGAACCGACAGCGTCGTTACGACCAGATCAAACTGCGCTGGTGCATCGGCTTGACGCTTTTTTTCAGATACTGAAGACGCCAGTTGACGAAGATGTGTCCAAGCACGAGATAGCCTCGCGACTGCGCTTCGTGGCGTTGTTTTTGGCCTTGCTGATTGACCTCTTGAGTCAGCTGCCGACGCGTCGCTTCTTGCTGACAGTGTTGAGGCGTCGTCACGTGCGCACTGCCCTTCGAAACAGCTTGCTGATGCAACATTCACTACAGTGGCAGAGTGCCAATGATAGGCAAGCTATTAGCAAGCAGCTATCTCTATTGGATGCATGCATGCGATTTCCAGTTGATGCGCACACGGGCTTGTCGCTTTCTCCGCGAGAATATCGTGAACATAAGGATCGTCATATTCAAGCTTTGCAACAGCGCGCATTCCAGTCATTTAGGGGCTCAACGGTGGAAGGACTTGCCATCGCACCATGCAGTCACATTGCAAATGCTTCTAGCTTCACCGAAATGCTGACGTCTATCGTCACTGCAGATCGCTTGCAGCTGTCATCGTTGGCTATCGCTGTTGGTGTTCTAGCTGACCAGGCAGAAGCCAGCACTGTCTCTGATGCCGAATTGATTGACTTCTTCCAGGAAGAATACTCGATTAACCAGACCGAGCAGGACGCACTTTCCTCCAATATGCCGGTTTATCCTACCGAGTTGGATATTTGGAATCAGATGCTGAACCGAAAAGACCTGACGGTGCAAAACGTCAATGCATCAGGTGATGAAGCTCCCATGAAAACAGTGGATCACGTTTATAGCGCTGACGAGTCTGACCTGTTCCCGGTGCTGCCTGTACGCAAGTTGGGTCTGCAATTCCTGAACATAGCAGACTATCTGCAGCGTAATTATGAGCTGCTTCAGCTAGAAGCAGCACAAGATATTCGCGAAGATCTCGAGTCGACTATTCGACAGCTTGACGCCGTGCGTGCTTTGCGTTCATCGCGTGCAAATGATACAATTTTTCGTGGTTTCTCTCGTTTCGGTGTTGCGCTAGTAAGCACGCTTCGGACTGTAAAAGTTGGCAAGCCGTTACTTGGCCAAGTTGCTCCAGCCTCAGTTATTGCGGAGCTGGAGGTGGATCTGTCCAGCCGCCATGATCGCAAGTCGTTTGATTGCTACCAGACGAAGGAAGTGGTATTTCTCGTGACTGTGAGAGCTACGGCTGACGAAGGTTGCGAGATAATGGGCTTTCAGAAAGAGGCGAAAGACAAAGGATCGTTTCCTGAGAACTTTGGTGTACAATATGTACGTGCAGCAGAAGTCGTGAAGGTCACAGATGCTGCTGGTTGTGCTATCAATGACGAAAACCCTATCGGTAAAGGCAGTAAGCGGGCATTTACACTAGCCTTGGACGGCGTGCAATACAAGAACGATTTAGAAGCTGGCCAACTTGAGGCATACGAACACGTGAATTTATTGGTACGGCGTCGACCCCGCGATAACAATTTCAAGGCTGTGTTGGATACGATCTCCGGCGCATGGCGCAATGCTGATAAAGAAGAATTGTTACCAGCATGGTTGCATGACCTCTTCTTGGGATACGGTGATCCGGCTGCTGCGCTGTACAAGTCGATTTACAAGGCGAGGGCAGAGAAGCAGTTGACAGTGCCGATAAGCGAGTTGCTGCTAGATGGCGAACATGCACTCGAAGCTGGTGGTGCTGAGAAGCTTATACACATCGATGATGAAACTCAAGAGCTGAGCGCGAAGGATGCAGTTGCCCCGTTTACCTATGTCGAGGATATACGGGATGGCTCAACCTTTATCCGAGCATCCCACGAGAAAAAGCTTTCTACAAAGCACTCGAGCACTTGTCCGCCAGTTCGCTTTACCAAAGCACAAGTGGCTGCCGTGCGCACCGGATTCTGTGAAGGCTTGACTCTGGTCGTAGGCCCACCAGGTACGGGCAAGACGGATGTAGCTGTGCAGCTCGTGTTGAACCTGTACCGCTTCACGCCACCACGAGAAAAGGTGCTAATCGTCGCTCATTCAAACCAAGCATTGAACGACTTTTTCTCGAAGATTCTGGCACAAGGTGTCGTCCATGAAGCTGAGATTGTGCGAATGGGAAAACGGCAATTCACAAGTACAAGTGGTTTACCAGAAGAGGAAGGCAAGGAAGCCTTTCATGCGGATTTCAGTCGCAATGGGCGTGTGGCGTTCCTGTTGGAGCGAAGGATAGCCTTACTGGCGGAGGTGGAACAGATGGCTCAATGGCTGATCAAGCACGATTCCGTGCAATACGCTGGCCTTGCCGGCGGCTCGACGTCGTACTCTTGTGCAAACGCTCTTGTTTTTTATCAGTTTCACATGAAGACGTTTCTTGATGCGGCCCATGAGGCAACCGCGTTGGGCTCAAAAGATGACAAGGTTGCGGCGTTTTCAGCGTTTTTTGCTATGCGGAAGGGTGAGCCCCCCAGCACGATCGAGGCTTTGCGTCAGTTTGCTGTGGACATTGAGTCATATTTTGCCGAGTTGCGGCGTCTCCAACCTTTTGAGCTGCTGCAGACTCCGCGCCAGCGTGGTGACATGTATTTGATACATCACGCTCGCATCATAGCTATGACATGTACGCACGCGGCATTAAATTACAGCAAGATCGCAGACCTCGGACTGCGATTTGGAAGTCTTGTTATGGAAGAAGCTGCCCAGGTAAGTGAACTGGACAGCATTGTGCCTCTCCTACTAACGTGCTCCAAAGATGCTGGCACAACGTCACATGAAAGCAATCCGCGCTCAGGCCTCCAGCGTGTTGTACTCATGGGCGATGCAAAACAGCTACCTCCTGTGGTAAAGTCGCTTGCGCTGAAAAGCTATGCTCACTTTGACCAGAGCCTCTTTACTCGACTGCTGCGTCTCGGTGTGCCTCATATTGTTCTTGACCGCCAAGGTCGCAGTCGGGGTGAGATAGCCGATATCTATCGATGGCGGTACGACGATGCTTTCGCCAATGGAGGGAAGCACACTACGTTGGGCGATTTACCTCGTGTGAAGTCAGAGATCCCATACCAGGCAGGCAACGTCGGGTTCTCGCATGTAGCACAATTTGTGGATCTCACGGGAACAGCGAAAGAGCGTCAGTCGAAACCGTTTGCTTACGAGAACGAAGAAGAGGCCCGCTTCATCGTCGCGCTGTTCCGGTATATGCTGCACATCGGTTACCGTGCTAACCAGGTGGCCATCCTCTCGACCTACAACGCGCAAAATGAGCTTTTGCAGCGATTGTTGCACGCCCAGGCTCCCGAAGCCGCCAAGTCCTGTCAAGTGTCTACTGTTGATCGCTTTCAAGGCCAACAGAACGATTTCGTATTGTTATCCACAGTGCGTAGCGGGACCAGCGTCGGCCACCTGCGTGATGTTCGTCGTGCCACGGCGGCCTTTTCTCGCGCACGACTTGGGTTGTATGTGGTGGGGTGTCTCAGTACGCTGGAGCAGGCACAGGAGCTGCAGCCGTTCGTGTCGAAGTTGGTATCAATTGCCAAGGAGCACGACGGTGACAAAGCGACCAAGCTGGCGCTTGTGCCATCGGCGAGAGTTGACGCAGTGGCACCGAGCAAAGACGAGAAGCGCAAGGTGCGATCAAGAGCAAATCATACTGTCGTGTACATCTCGGATCGGAAGCAGCTCGAGAAGGTAGTGGCCGAGCTCGAGGCGTAGGTGGCGTCGAGTCTAAGCAAGCGCGTACATTTGAACAGGGTACAGTTCTTCTGGAAAATGACGTTGTCGACGCTCGGCAAGCAGCGTGAGCCCAGCTTGTTGGAACAAGCTCTTGTAATAAACAGCTGAGCGGGTGATGCTACTATCTCGTCGGTCGAGGTCGTAGGGCTCGGCCGTCTGGAAAATGTTCTCTTTGATCACGATAAAGCCACTGGACGTGAGGGCTTCCTTGCACCGTTTTAGGTACCGAACGAGGTCTACGTCCGTGAGATGTACTAGCACCCACTGCATCCAGATGAGGTCGTAGCTCGCACGTGCCGGTTCAAAGTCCTGGAGCCCCATGCAATACAAGTCTCGCACTCGAGCACGGAGCATCTCGTTCGTTCCAAAGTATTGCGGCACTGCCCGCAATAGTCTCGCACTCTGCTCCACTAGATCCACGTGGTCAAACACAGGCGCCAGTAGAAGTTTACTGACGCGACCAATGCCAGCGCCGCAATCTGCTGCAGCATGACAGCTCCATTCGGGTCTCACTGTATCTCGAACATGTTTGAGGAACCGCTTGGATTCACGAATATCGACGCCTGAAACGTGGGCGAACCCGCCAAGGACCCCGTTGTTCGTTGCGGGACAATTAGTCTCGTCGTTCCAGTAGTCGTGTGCACTTGTGTACCACCCGAGCTGCCGCTCCTTGGTACCTTCTTCCTCTGCATTTTCTCCACTTTGTTCACTCAATTGGGCTTGCCACATACTGAAGACCGTTCTACGTGAAGAGACAACACAAAAGACGGTAGAGTCACAAAAGACGGTGGAGTTAGATATAGTCTGTATATCGACAATAGACTTGGAGCAACTGACCATAGACTCGGAGCCACGTACTCGTATTCGTTATGACGTTCCGTGCGTTCAGACGCGTCTAGCGCTTGTTGGACACGCGTGGCAATGACTCGCAGCTCTTCCCAGTCCACAAACGAGGAGCTCCTTCGAGCGGTCGGTCGTACGAAAGGCATGGACATCATTTCAAACTGTTCAATTATGTAGACGAGTTTGGTGGAACTAAATAATTGATTGACTTTGTCAGTCTCTGGACCGTGTCGGACTATTTGATACGCTTACGATCGGTGCGATTCCGACCGACCGACCGAACCAGATTAAAGTCAATAAATATTGTTTACACGCCGTTACGACATGCCGTTTTCAGTACCAAGTGATGTCTAACGTTCTGCGTGAAGTGAAATCGGCACCGTGGCCGTGCACGCCTAGTAGCAAGTAAGCACAAAAACATGCACATAGAATGGCAAGCAACATGGGAAGGTATCGAAGATGACAATCAATCAATTCAAAAACAACTTGCCAGCCGTGTCTTGCCTGACGTATTGCAGCGCGACATTTTCCTTCTGAAGACCAGCCGTGAATGGGCTTCTAATACTTTTCTTTCGAGTGGGTGTGACGACTAGGCGCATGTAAATTGAGACTTTCAGAAGAAGATCCGATACAAGCTGGTAAGAGTTCGTTGTGACCCGCTTGTCCCAAGGATGTCTATCAGGACGCTACCGTTTGCATTCGAAGCCAGTTTGCTAGGACCATATGTGCAGCAACTGAAATGCAGAGTCGTTGATGTATCTGCATCGAGCGCATTACAGCCGTTTCATCCCCGATGCCAGCAGAATCAAAGTTACACACTCGCGCTAACTAATGGTGTAGCATGTCACACTGAGACTGATGGTGCAGTGGTCGCACGATATCGGATCACGACGCAGCTCTTTTTGATCCGTCGAGCGGGAGACACGCCACCTGAAAACGCGACAACCCAAGCACCAACTTCTGGACCTCTGTGACTGTTCCTAGATCCCATGCGGGTAGACCGCACGTTTTGGTGTGACGTGCAATGCTTCAGAACCGAACCTTTGGAAGTGGTAAGCTCAGCTTCCTGAATGAAGACTGACTGCTCACTCCTCAATACAATGCCAAACTGTCGCCTATCGTCAACCGTCAAGAACTCGTTCCGAGGCTCGCGTTCTGCCTATTGTCTGACGTCAGATAGAGTCCAGTTCGCTCGGACGAAAAAAGCGGCAGACGTCGTCAAGGTCGCCGATACTAACACCTCAAGTCGCAAGAAGACCATTCGGCTCGTGGATGAAAATGCTTTGGACGCCACCGAATTGAGCTCGTCGTCCGACTCGACGATCCCGTTATCTGCGACTTCGGCGTCATGTATCAGGCTCTCGTATACGCCCACGGACATTCCGCTTCGCTTTCGTCGGTACGAAGGCAGATTCGACAACCGACGGGGTCAGTCCCTCCAGTACTTTTCGCTTTTTCCACCCGAGAAGGAGCCTCTCCGTGGCGTCGTGCTCTACGTGCACGGCAGCAGCAGCCACTGTCGACGTCACATTAGTCTTTACCGAGAACTGTGTACAAACGGGTTTGGTGTCATCTCGTACGATATGGTAAACCACGGCGCAAGCGACTTTGACAAGCACAAGACGCGCGCCCACATCAGCAAGTTCCAGCACCTCGTTGATGACACGAATACCTTCATCACGTTTGCCAAGCGAAGCATCTACTCGGACGCTCTTCGATATTGGCGGAAACACCACTACTCACGCCACTCTCAAGTCGACATGACGAATCTCATTGCACTGCCAGAACCCCCGCTGATCATTCTTGGCTCCTCATTCGGGTCATTGGTTGGCATCCACACGATGCTCACGGGTCGACATAAGTTTCATGCGAGCGTTTGGGCTGCACCAACGGTCGGCGTGACATGGAACCCGTTGTTGTATGTCGAATCGCTTCTGCCGCTTGCGAGGTTCATCCCAAAGGCACGCATCGTGCCTGCTGTGAACTACGACGTATTCTGCCGAGACCCGATGTTTCTTGAAGCGTTCAAGAAAGACCCACTAACTTGCACGGACAAAATGACTGCTCGAAGTGGCGCCGAGGCGTTAAACGCGATCAAACGGCTTGAGAAAGACAAGCGCGTATTGAAGTCGGACAGCACGTTCTGCGCTATTCCCGTGCTTTTCATTGCCGGCTCCAACGATGGCGTTTCGGACCAGCAGGCTGCGATTCGCTTCTTTGCTTCGTTGGGCACTAGTGACAAGGAATTCAAGCTCATCAACGAAGGCTTTCACTTCGTGTTTGAAGATACACAGAAGAAAGCTGCTATTGAGCATCTCATGCAATGGCTTCATCGACGATTCCCGATCGAGACTCGAACGAATGAGTTTCAAGGAGGCGTGTGAGGGTAGTGCTAAGCTAATAAAAGTAACACGTATGAACCATGTCTAACTGATTGTGGTCACCAGGCCTTCGTGCTGTGGCACCACGCTTGACATGATGACGTTTTGACCACACCTACAGACCCATACGAATCACTCCGATCGTGCTGACATACTGACCATGGCCGTACACAAACACACCTCGACGCTTTTGACGACATGCTGACACCAATGTTATAGCCTACACCTTTTCTTCCGGTCATGTTTTATCGGTAAACTTGCGTTGCCCTCCTTCACACTCGCTCGCAGATCGGATAAAGCTCACACCACGGAATAGATCTTCTTTCCTTAGCTTTGCGAGCCTGTGGCGCTAGCAAGAACATGTCATTTGGCGTGACGGCTCAGCCAAAATCTAAACTAACTGCGACTGGTGCTCATCTGGCTGACTAGCTTTCGCAATAGTGCTTTCGTAAGAACGCACGCAGCCAACTCCAGCTTTCAGGTCAGCTCAAAGACTTCAACGAAAGTCAACACCGTGATCGCCCTCGTCGGCAAGCATCCAGCGGTTTGCATCGCGCTTATTTATAGCAGTTTTCGTGCTGCATGTTTTTCGTGGCTTGCGGTGAAACGTGAGACAGCAGGTCAGCACATGCTCAACCGCTACCAGAAGCAGGCAAAGGTGAAGCTGTGACAGCCGTCGAAGACTTGCTGGCATCGTTGCTACCATAAATAACAAGGTTTCGACCGCTGCTACTGAAAGCACGTTAGCAGATGCGATGGATGTCTTCGAGATATGCGGTCGGTCGAATGACAGAGCGAGTACTCGTTAAGTTTTCGTGCTCTTAGTTGGTGGACTCGTTCCCGGATGGACGCATTTGCACTTTTGGTTGCAGCCGTAGGAATACTCAGTGTGTTGATACGGGAATGTTCAAAACTATGATCGTTGTGCGGAACTTCCGTCCATGCTCGAACGTGTGTGTGCTGACGGTAGCATTGTGCCTTCTCTTTGTTACTTGCCTGACCAAACATGACTGCGTTGACCTCCCTCTGTTCGAGCAGAAGACGATGTACGAGACGACAGAAGCACTGGAAGGTCGCAGTGCCAAAACGCGTGTAGATGAACATGATAACATGAAGAAGCACCTCTTCGTTGCCGGTGGGACCAAGTGGACCCCCGTCATTGTGTGTCAACTCGGGCTGCTTTTTATGGTTGGTGATCTATAGTTTCCCACCGCTCCTTTGACCTTCGAAAGCATCGTTGCTGCTGATAAAAAGTCACGTGATGCTTGTCGGTGTAAAAGCCATCGATGGTGTAGCTGCGGTAGCACAACACTCAATCGGGTGGCACGCTTCCGAGCCAAGACCTTCATAGTTCATGGTTCGACACGATGGCGAGTCTCGAGTCGGAACCTCCGGTGCAACCAATCCACAAGGTACTCGAAAACTTGCTCCTTCTCGGGCTCCTCGTAGATCATGTGATACAACCCTTCAAACAGTTTGTAATCCTTGTCCAAGCTTCCCATCTGATTGTAGAACTTATACGCTGCTTGTTGGTCAGAAATGCGGTCGACGGATCCAGCGAGGAATAGCATCGGGACCCCACAAAACGGACTATCACCATCAGCCACTCGACGATCATGTTGAAGTCGCATCATGGCATGAAGTGATTGATGACCACTGAGCGGGGTGATCATATCACTGATCGTCAAAGGGTCGTCGTGGTACCGTTTCAGAAACTCGGGGTCTCGAGATCGTAAGCTGTGCTGAATCGCTGGGATAACCTTCGCTGTTGGGAACGCCGCGACCAACGGACGAGCGAATTTCCATTGAGCCCACAACACCTTCGTCCACGTGACACCAATGGTCGGCGACGCCCAAAAAGCAGCGTGGAACTTGTGCTCACCTGCTAGCACCGTGTGCAATCCAATGAGAGACCCAAACGAAGCTCCCGAGATAATGAGCGGCAACTCGGGTGGAGCCCTGCGTCGTTTTTCTTTTCCATGCGGGTGACGAGGGTGGTGGTGTTTCCGCCAGTATCGAAGCGCATCTTTGTAGATGGTGCTCTTGGCAAACGTGATAAAGTCGTTCGTGTCGTCAACGAAGTGGTCAAAGTTGCTGACATGTGCGCGCACCTTGTATCGGTCGCAGTCACTGACGCCGTGGTTTAAGAGATCGTAGGTAATAACACCAAAGCCTGCCTTGCAAAACCGTTCGTAGAGCGCTGTACTCCGTCGGCAATGGTCACCCATGCCATGCAAGTGCACTATAACTGCCCGCATCGCCAACTTCTCCGGCGGAAACAAGGAGAAGTAAAAAAGCGACTGGCCTCGTCGATTCGTAAACGTGCCTTCGTAGTGCCGGAGTCGTGCATACGGCTCTTTCGTCCTCTGCAACAGCGGAATGGATACCGAGTGTTCGGACGACGCTCTCGGACGCGCCCGGATAGTATCCCCGAGGATCGGAATATCAACCGACATCCGACCTCCGTCCGAGGATGCCCGTCCACGCATCCTCTCATGATCATCCGACAAGTGACGACGACTACGGGTCTGCTTAGCTTGCTTAAAAACCAAATCAACGGACGACTTGGCACCCGCAAAGCGGTCCTTTACTGCAGCTGGAGAGTGACCTGACTGCTTGTTCGAACCTGGTGCAGCAGTCGTGGAGCTGGTACCCGAGCGTAAGTCCACCACGCAAGGCTTTCGCTTCTCCGTTGTCGGTTGGCATGCAGCTTTCGACGCGAGCAAGTCTTCAAAACACAGCGCAGGCTGCGAGTGAGGAAGTGCCCTGCCATCTTTCAAAGCAGTTAAATCAAGAGGATGTTTTGCCGGGGCGGACTGCTGGACTGCTTCGTTTGAAAGGTGGTCAACGAGTTCAGCTGTAGGACGAGACCGCACCGATTGCGCTTTCGTCTTCTTCTTTGGTGGCGTCTTCTTGGACGTACTGGAACTTGTACTGCTAGCAGAAGCAGAGCCATCAAAGCGAGGAATTCCCGGGGCCCTGGCCCTAAGACTTCTCAAAGCTTTAGATCCAGCTATTGAAGCTTGAGACAGCAACGGCGTCGATCGCGCTTTCGACGTGCGTGTTGGCGGCTTGGGAACCGTCGCAGATGACGCGTTTTCCACGACTTCCAAGGGCTTCGTCGTCGTCGTCTCTGCAGCTCTAGCAGAATTTGTTGACTCGGACGATGATCGAGACTTGACCGTTTTCCCAGCAATCACCGGCGCAAAAGCTGGAGTCGGTGCGGGGCACACCGGACGCGGTTGGTCCGGACTCGAATCGGAGCTGGACAACGACGTGGTGGGTGACGTGTCACACGAATTCCCCGACTCCTTGAGCGACGTCATTGTCGTAGTTGGTCGGATGGATGATCCTTGTAATGCACTCATCCGCTCCTCTTGGATGGCTGACATGGCGAGCAGTGCATTGCGATTGTGGGCGTGGCGGACGGGAAGTCCAATGGGTCCTTTGGTCATCGGTTCGGAAATGACACGACGGCTTGGCTCAAAAGCGCGTCAGTTTGTCTCTGAATGAATGGGGAGGTTTGAGAAATTTTGAGCGAGGTGCCAGGGCTACCCCATCAATGAATCCTCGACGGACGATTGATCGATCGATCGATCGGTCGGTCGCTCGATCGCTTATTTGCTCGGTGGGTATGGAGTCCTGACTTGAAGAAAGCCAGACACTCGCGTTGAAACCAGGAGCACCAGTTGAGATGGTGCGTGGCCTTTCGGGTCACTGTTCGCTCATCTCTCGTCATTAGCTATGGCGTTGGAGCGAGGTCGACAAGGTTTCAGCACATGAGGTCTGCATGAAAGGGACGTGCGTGTCGAGTGGTTGTCAAGCAACAAGTGTTGCAAACGTCTGCTTCGGAGACTCGCGCGTCGGCCGGTGATGCCAGGGCTATACCACGACCTGAAGCGCTGGCTTTTTGATATAAATGAGACGACCTCGACTGCGTTTTTCGCAGAGAGGGGACTTTGTAGACGAAGCGAATGCGTGTGTGCACCTGTACGTATAACTGGCTGCATGGAAGTCTCTTCGGGACACATTGTCCGTTCCACTGTCTTCAGCACACTGCAAAATGCGACGCGACATGTCTACTATACCTACTGCAGCTAGACTTGCCTTTTGTTTCACAAGTGCCTTGGTATCACACGTTGCATAGTTCTTTGTAGCTGTTCAGTCCTCTCTTTTGCATTCGTCAGCTTCGTGAGGAAGCAAGCGTGTCAATAGATTGCCCGTTGACCGGTACAAGACGCGAATGGCAATGACAACTCTAGAACCTTGGCCTTCAACATGCTGGTGCAAAGTGGTTCTTGCTTAGATGGTAGGTGGTATTCAATATGGAAAGCATGCTGAGAGCAGCTCGACGCACTCGACACCGTTCCAGACGAATAGCAGCTCATTAACGCGTTTCGGACGGGAACCGACGGCGCAACCACTTGGCGAGGTACCGGAATACATTCTCCTTCTCGGGCTCTTCGTACACCAAGTGATAGAGTCCATCAAAGAGCTTGAACTCCTTGTCGAAGTTCCCCATCGTACCAAAGAATTTGATCGCCGCCTGCTGGTCAGAGATTCCGTCGAGCGAACCTCCAAGAAAGAGCGTCGGAACGGCGCAGAACGTGCTGCGTGGATCCATCACCCTGGCGTCTTCCTGCAGTCGAGCGACAGCCTGAAGGGCCTCGTGTCCAGTACGCGCTGTCATCATGCCCACGTACGTCAGCGGATCAGCTTTAAATCTCCTCAAGAAGTTGGGGTCCCGACTGAGCAGCTCATACTGCACAGCAGGCACCACCTTGGCCTTTGGCATCATTGCAGACAACGGTTTCGCCAGCTTGGACTCGGCCCAAAGCAGTGGATTCCAAACCACGCCAAACGTCGGTGAGCTCCACACCGCAGCGTGGAACTTGTGCTGCCCCGATAGTATCGTGTGAATGCCGACGATCGAGCCAAAACACATCCCAGCAATGATCAGGGGCAATTCCGGAACGGGAGCATTGTCCGGGTCACCTTCCTGATGACGGTAGTGACACTTTCGCCAGTACCGAAGTGCATCCGTGTAGATCGAGCGCTTTGCAAACGTGATAAAATCGTTTGTATCCTCGACGAGATGAGTAAAGTCCCCAACGTGCGCACGAATTTTGTGCTCGTCGAGGTCACTCACACCGTGGTTGAGCAAGTCGTAGGTGATTACCCCGAAACCTTCTCGACACAAGCGTTCGTACAAGTTCACGTTCCGACGACAGTGATCGCCAAGCCGGTGCAGACACAGCACCACCCCACGCAATGGCATTCGCTCCGGGGGAAAGAGAGAGAAGTAGAACAGCGTCTGTCTTCGTCGATTCATGAATCGGCCCTCGTAATGACGCAGACGCAACGGAGACGCTGGCACGCTCATTCGAGGTGAAGGAGTAGACGGAGATAAGCTGGCTGTCGATGTCGAACGAGGAACCGTTTCTTCACTTGCCACTTTTTTCGGTGACCTGCTTGGAAGAAACGATTGCAGCAAACGCGGACGTTCTCGAGAGCTCCCGTATAGACGAGGAGAGACTTGCAGCTTGTCCTTTGCTGAGTTCGTAGGGAGTGGAAACTCCGAAGACTGCGTCGCGGGCAGTCTTGACTGCCGACATGATCTCACTTGACGTTGTTCCGTATCGTTATGACGCGACTTCGGATACTGCGTCGTCGAATGTTCTCGTGTAGGAGGACTCGATTCTCTGACCGATCCTGTCCGACGATCTTCAGTGTCCAGGAGCAACGCAGGCGAAAGAGGAGACGACTTTACTCGGTCGACCTTTGTAGCTCCAGCATGGTGAGATGGCTGTCGACCTCCCATTAGCTCGTTTTGGTCGCTAGAACCAGAAACTTGTCCCGAAAGCGTCTGGGACCTCGGACTGTCGTCGTCAGTTAGGCGACTCGGGCTTCGAAATGGTGGGAGCATGCGCTTCCCCTGAACTTCTGAAGATAAAGGCGGGGACTTGGACCGACTACTGTCACGTGACGTCGTACGTGGTCGAACTGCTTGACGAAGATCCGGCTCAGCTCGTCGGTCATGGTCGTCCACTTGAGGTGAGAGAATCGGGTTCATCTTGCTTGACGACTTGGATCGGATCCTCGCAATAGGCTTCCTACTACTGTTCGAAGCCTTTGGTGAGGGGCACCGCTCACTCCTTCGTGGAGCTAAAGGGGGATCCGAAAAAGCTTTAGGACGGGTAGTGCTGGATGCGTGGTGATCCGTCCGACGACGGATAGGTCGTTTCTGAAGCTCGATCGGTTCGGTCTCCTCCTTCTCTTTGCACGACGACGACGACGACGACGTTCTCGAGTGGACACGTAACGCACTCTCTGGATCCAGACGCCCTTGACGGGTGCTACAGCGATCGTTGCGCTCGTTTCTTAGACTCAATGGCTCGCGATAGCTGGAACGGGATTCCAGAGAGGTCCACGTCTTAGTTGCGTCCTCGCCGGTATGAGGACTGTGCGGAGAGACCTGCAGCGTCTTGGTGGCAGTAACCACGGACTCGATCGGTGGCACAATCTCGGAGCGATGAACTGGTGACTCGAGAGCTGGCTGGTGGACCCCGTTCTGCTTTGGGGAGTCACGGGGTCGTTCCTGAAGTGCATCGAGGAAACTGCCGCTGCTCGGCTTAATGTCGTCCGGATGTTTGAACTGTTCTTCGAGACGCGACTCGCGCATACTTGCTGGTTCTTCCACAATGACGGACATTGGGAGCGCGTCTCGAATAGGGACGTGCGGACGATGGGCCCTGCCGCTACTAAGAGAGACCTTCTTACAGTTGGGCATTGGTTGGGTTGCTAGGTTGGTTTCCAAGCAAGTAGATGATGTCAGCAGAGAGAGAGAGAGAGGAGGATTACGAAGAGCGAAGGAAGAGAGAAAAGAGATGTGACACTGTCTGTGGGCATCGATTTGCGCGTACGACATGCGGAAGAGATTCATGGAGATGTCTAGACGTGGAAGAGCCGGCGGATAAGGAGCGAAAGCCTGATGCGACGTAGAAACCGCCCGGTAATTCGAAGCAAAGTGACTCGCTTTTGTACAGCTGGATGCCCGCTCTCGCCTGGTTCGAGCATAGACGTGCTAGGGGCGGGTGGATGCTTCAAGCGAACGCTTGATGGAGTGGGAGGAGGAGAGGTTTGCCACCCACAAGATTGATCAAGACGGTGGAATCGTATGATGGATATGCAGACGGTGGTTGCAGACGGTGATTGCAGACGGTGATTGCAGAGATTTGTTTGTACAATTCTAGAGCTGGTCGTCTGGTGCTTTACATATCGACTCATGTCCGCGTCGGGGTCTACCCTAGCTGCACATTGCATGAAGGGCTTTGTGAGACCTGTCCATTTCATTCTCCCTCTTCTCGCCCTGCCGCGACATTTTAGGATCCAGCCGGAACAGTCGATCTGTGGGAAACCTGGCAGGCTGCATCCTTGATACTGTAGAGACAATGACGGCGATCAGCGACAGTTTCGTTGATGTCGGTCAGCGAACGGATGGAGGACGGACGTTGCAATCCGGAGCTCAGCTGCTCCTTTGTCGGATCCCCTGGTCCTCTCCTGATACGACGCGATCATTCAGGCGGCAGGAAAGATAATCACTGGTAGTAGCTCTCACACCTCTTCTGTGTTGTCCTGGCACCGCGGCGCGACGCCTCAGGTAGATATGGTGTCGAGGGTATGTACGAGGAAGATCTTCATTGGTGCGGTAAGACGGTATCGAGCTTGATGCCTCGTAAGAAACTGCCAAAGATGCAGGCAATGCGACTACTGTGCCGCTTTTACGAGATAGAAGTGCGGGCGATACGAGGTTTACGGCGGCGTAAGCTCAAATGCTCAGACTCAGTCGGGGATGTAATCTGCGTCATGAGTACCGCACTGTATGGTCGATACCAGGACTTGAAGTCGGAGAGCTAGCTTGTGTACCTAGTCAAACACGCCTGTCATGCAGTTCAAGTGCAGGTATGCTGGTGACGGTGAGACCCTCGGTAGTGTTTGTCTTTCCGCTGCCACGTACAGCAATTAGCACAACACGTCGGATCAATAAGAAGAACGACTTTTGCATGCTCTGTATCCCCCGCTTGCAGTACAGACCTCGGTGGTACTGAGCATGTGTGAGGCATGAGGAAGACAGAGGAGCAGTCGCCACTAGTTTGGATGTACCCAGTATCACTGACTGTCTCAGCACTTTGTGATTGCACTCTGTGACTTCTGTGAGCACTACCTGACGTACGTGCTACTGATGAGCTGTGTCATTTTGGCGAGTAATCGAGGAAGTGGCCGTGGATTTGTCACTTGAAAGCTGTCACCAAGTGTCTTGCTGCGACGAGCCTCCACGCTTCTTTTGTACACGAATTTGGCTCGTTGTAGACAGTATGCATCAATGTATCGTGGCCAAATCAACCACCATGCGGCTGACAGGTACACGCTTCTTGACAGTTAAGCATGTCCAGGACATGCATGGTGCCTGCCTGTACGTGTGCTCGGAGGCTACGCGGTTACTGAGATGCTCTCACACGAGTGTACTTTGCGCTTAGAATATTTCACAAGCTCATGCGGTCATCTTTCTTGTCAAACTGCTAGACCCTCGATCAAGAAACACCGTTTTCGTGCTCAGAAAAGTGCAGTCATATGAATGGTTTACTTTGATGCAGCAAAGTATGAGATGACGCGTGCGTTACGCGGTCGTCTTTGACCACATCGTCTGTCACGAATATCTCAACTGCTCGCAGCGAGGTTCTCCTTTCATGCTACATGCTGCCAAGTCGTAGTTGGAGAGTTACTACCAGAAACGCTTGCTTGCGCTTGAACACGCTGATAACTGATGACTCTGTGCATACCCGCTCCCTACAGCTTCTTTTGTTGGCACGGAGCAGTGAGTTATTGCAGACAATGCGGCTTGCATATTGAGGGCGGAGGCACATGCCGGCGGTATCTTAGGCCTCGTGGACGCAACCTGACAAGCCACAGGATGACCTGGTCGAGTGCGACTATCGTTATTGAATACGTTGAGCTGCGAGTTATGTGCGATGGTTGATAAACGACGCCGCGAAAGCAGAATATGCAGGCACATACGGCGCCATCTCCGCCTCAGGTTGATTGGAGAGCTTCTCTCCTATCCTCTACATGTGCATGGCAAAGACTGCCTGCCGTAAAAACCCACTGCCCGATGTCAGGATGAAATCCAGACATCAAAATTGTGTCCATCCTTGCGCAACCATGTCATGATGCTGGTCCAGTTATATTAGCCTGGATGACTGCCATGTCGATGATGCAAGGCCGAAAACATCGCATGTCATACGCTACAGTGGGTGTTTCACACAGTCAGTAGTTTGAGCTGAAGCGTATCTTCCTGCGGCTCTCAAAAAATGGATTATTAGTGGCGACGGTAGTTATCATTGCGATCCCAGTCAGTATGCAGCTTCATGAGCGAGAAGTAGAAAATGTAAGCAGCCGACTCTGTACGTTGCAGCGCAGCAGGGTGAACAGACCGAAAGAGAGTCGGAAAAACGTCAAGTCAACTGACGTGTCATGGTACTGCTGCAGGTCTGTAGTAGAAGAAGGTATACGTGCAAAGAAAAGAGCCTCCGTGTTGTGAACTACTCCCATCAGCATGGCGGGTCCATGTTGATTGTTACTAAAGATAAGCGCCTGTAAGCGTCTTGTAACTCTCGTCGTTGTATTCGTTGCCATACTCAGTGACGTCTAAGTCTACTCTGTCAGAATCTGTAGGGTCTCCCTCCTCTCAGTCCACTCAATCAACTGGTCGTCATTTTCTTGCCATCGGAATGAGTCAAATGGCTCATCTACACCAGCGATCGTACGACGTGGTTAGAGAGTATCGATTGTGGGCGCAGAGAATAAGCACCGTTCGTCATACCGCGACTCGCCTGTTTACCAAAGCATCTCCAGCCTCGAGCTCATGTCGATTTCGTTGACTCTCCGTGCTTTAACTCGAGCGGCTTGAACTGAATTGATTGATACGAAAGCCGTCCGAGTCTATCTCGATTGGTGTCAAAGTTCAAGCTGCAAGTGATCGAGGATGTCGGCTGGAACGTGGTCGTCAATGGCACCGCCGTCGTCGACGTACTCATCATTATCTTCGACGTCTTTCAGCACCTACACACCATTGGGGTTGCGCCACTTTGAAGGCAGGTTCCAGAGCTTCCGCAGCCATGAGCTCTTCTACTATTCGCTCTACCCACCACATCACCATGCGCTGCGAGGTGTCGTGCTTTATCTGCATGGAGTAGGTGATCACTGCCGTCGGTACTTGTCCTTGTACGAGCGGATGTGTGAAGAAGGTTTCGGTATCATCACGTACGACTTGGTGAACCACGGCGCGAGTGACTGCGATCATCATGCGACACGAGGTCACGTTCGCAGCTTTCGGCAGCTCGTAGAAGACACGAACGCGTACGTCACGTTTGCCAAGGCATCCATCTTCCCGCTGACCAGTCACTTGTCGCCGCCTTTGATCATTGCGGGCACGTCATTTGGATCACTTGTGGGACTGCACGTGGTACTCTCTGGACAGCACAAGTTCTGCGCTGGGTTCTGGGCAGGACCGACCGTGGGCATGGAGATGTCAACTCTCTGGAAGGTGCAAGCAGCATTCATCCAGCCACTGTCTCTACTATTGCCTCGGGTGCGACTTGTGCCGGGCGTTGACTACCATCTGCTTTGGCGAGATCCCGGCACGCTGCAGGACTTTAAGGCTGATTCACTAGCGACCATGAGCGATATCACTGCAAGGACCATGCAACAAACGCTTCGTGCCATGCACCGATTGACGAAAGACAAGCACATACAACAAGCTGGCAGCGACTTTTGTGCGCTGAGCATGCTCTTCCTCGTTGGCTCGGAAGACCACGTAGCTGATCAAGGGGTCACGAGGAGGTTCTATGACAAACTTGCCAATACGGACAAAGAATTTGCTGCATTCGACGGTGTGTTCCATAGCGTATTTGAAGACCCGGAGCAAGACGAGGTCTTGGCGTTTCTGTCTCAGTGGCTACGGAACCGATTCCCGGAGCTGCATGCCACGTAAGAATGTTGACAAAACAAGTCTCGACCACGGTCTCCCTCACTCAAAAATTGCAGAGCTATAAGGACATCCGTGGAGCATGAATAATTGAGCGCTTCTTTACGAAGCAACCGTATGAAACTACAAGCCGATGTACGCTCGAGGAAAGTGAGCGAGTCGACTAGCCATGACACCGAGTCGGTAGCCAGTAACCTAAACATAATCCAGCTCATCGTGTTCATGTGATTGTTTGATCGTATTGTCTTCTTTTCGCGAGAACGCAACGCTGGACCGTTGTGAATGATACACTTGGATCTGCCACAAACGCGTCGTCAGGGCTGTAGCAGTGTCATGCTGCTTTGCATTCTCGACGAAAGGACTGCAGGAAATGACCACTATTCGCGACTTGATTGCTTTGATGAATTTCTGCCTGAACATAGCTCGTGCTTCGCGAGGAAAGTCAATACTTCGCAAGTAGTACAGATCATGCGTTCAGGTTCTCATTTACGTGGAGCCATGTCTACGGTGAAAAGTGATGATGCCGTTGTTAGTACGATGGGTCCACCACGAGAAATGATGTCTGGTGCAATCGACTCCTATTGCAACGGTGTAACGGGGCACCCTGAAGCTTGTACTGGTGACAGTACAAGCTACTTACTCTGATGACAGAATAAGGCGGTGCCTCGTAACTTCACGTACACTCGTACTGTAACGGGGTGAATCGTTACATAACAATTTATAAGAAATTGTTAATAGAATATAACTATAAGAGTTATATTCTCAGAATATTGTCATAAGGACAATATTCTGTAGCACTTCCAAGTAGTTCCTAATTGGTTGATATAGGCCATTATATCAACCAACGAAGACGCGCCACGACAGACGCACGCAATGAGTGGTGAGCAGATAACTGATTTACACATTTGTATTTAGACATAGTTAGATGAAGATAAATAGTGATTTATTGCAGACATTAACTATTATAAATACAGTTCTACTTTTTACTCTAACCAAGTACTCGCTTCTTCTTACTGTCTTCCTCTGCACGTACGAGTGTACGTGAAGTTACGAGGCACCGCCTTATTCTGTTATCAGAATAAGTAGCTTGTACTGTCACCAGTACAAGCTTCAGGGTGCCCCGTTACACCTGGTAGCACTTCGTAGTCCGTCCAAGGACCGCGTTCACATCCAACATGAATATGTTGGATGATGAAGATGACCAAAGCTTTCACGCTACGCGTGACGGCTACTCCCATTTGAGCGATGTCGAATGGGATGCGGTTGAACGAATGGGTTCGACCATGGGCATCCATGCTGTTAGCGTCATGCTAGAGGCTCTCAATAGAGATGCCCAACATGCTACTATCGCCAAGTTCATTCAAAATGAACTTGACGCAGAACGCGAGAAAGTAGCCTTGCTTCACCAACAAGGTTCTCAACAAGCAGAGTTGTTGAGAGAACAAGGTGCTCAACAGTTTGAACTGTTGAGACAGCAGCAGGCTGCTGCTGGCGGGTCGATGCACTCGCGTCGGCCCGAGACTTTGAAGATTGACATCTCAAAGTATAGGGGGGTCGAAGAAGACTCCCTCTTGAGATGGTTCGTCGAATTGGATGACGCCATAAGGGCGCGTCGCATCGACGACGGGGATATGCAAGTTGCATTTGCCCAGTCAAATCTGGCAGGACGTGCCAAGACTTGGGCACTGGGGCTCAAGCTGCACGACCCATATGCGTTTGGGTCGTTGGAAGTCTTCAAGTCGCGGCTCAGACAAACGTTTGAACTGCCTAGAGCTGAGTTCAGAGCTCGAACCGAACTCTTGAAGCTCAAGCAGGGTAAGCGTGATGTGCACGCTTACGCTCAACATATACGACATCTCACGAGTTGTATAAGTTCCAATCCGGTGGATGAACACACGTTGGTTTCGGTGTTCATGCAGGGTCTTGCGGATGGTCCCGTCAAGACTCACCTGTTCCGGCTTGAACTAGATTCACTAGAACAAGCCATTTCAATTGCGGAGCAGGAAGACTTCAGTCTGAGACAGGCTCGCGCCAGCTCGACATCATATCGTCAACCGAGACGATATGACAACGGAGGTCCAGAGCCGATGGAACTCTGTTATGTAGAGAGCGAGAAGGCTCGCTCTACAGGCTACAAGAAGTTGCAGAGATGCAACAGATGTCAAAAGACAGGACACTACGCTTACGAGTGTAGTGCTCCTCGTCCAGTGTCTCGCGACACTGGGCGTAGTGACCGTCCACCCATGAGAAAGGGGCAGGGACGAGGGTCCGCAGTTGGTGCAAAGACGCAACAACGGGATGGACCGTCAAAAACGGACAGGATCAGTAGGTGCGGAGCACCCTACTGATCCAGCAACGTCAAGAGAATTTGTAGGCCTCTTGATGAAGGTTGCTCCCAACACACAGACATTGTGCGTTGCTGCTCTAGGTAATGAGATCTCACTCATTACTTTGAAACTCGAAGTGACGAATAAGTTGTCCCTTCGAGCTCTAGTCGATTGTGGGGCGTCCAACAATTTTGTGCGACGCCAATCGCTAGAAGATGGTCACTTTAAATTCAGTGAATGTGACACACCTCCTACGAGGATGACGGTACGTCTTGCGACAGGCGCATCCGTAATCAAATATGAAGCGTATAGTGAAGATTCACTATACGCTAGAAGATACCCAATACGACGATGACTTTATCGTATTGGATTTGGATGACAAATTTGATGTCATCCTGGAATACCGTGGCTCAGAAGGTACGAACCACGGGTAAACTGGCAACATCGGACAGTAACGATGCTCTGCCGCTTGTTCATCAGATGGCCATCTGATGAACGTTTTGGAGCGTCCACAAGCGTGTGGATGTACTACGAGTGAGTGCGATGGCCTCACTTGTGGTACGGTCGTTAGTACGACTGCACAAAACCTTAGTGTACCAAACGGTTACACTTCGAGCAAAGTTCCGGCGGCTGTGAGGAAACACAGGCTGCGCCGAAGGTCCACCACTCGAATAAGTCGGGTGGACTGGGACAAAGATGTATCCCTAGAGGGGAACATCTAGAAGAGAAACAATCGATCGCTCAGGTTAAGCGAAACGATAATCCTAGATCGACTGGAGAGTCTTTCGTAGAGGATCTCGCTGTGGTTGCGCAACCCCAGCTAGAGGAAGTAAAGGGAATAAGTCCCAAGATTACAAATACGGCGGAAATAAGTTCCCCGAAACCCGCGGGAATAAGTCCCCGGGAAGACGAAGGAATAAGTCCTTCGAAGCCTGAGGGAATAAGTCCCCAGGAAATGACAGAGACATTGAATGTCATAGTCAATAACGGATCATGTGTAGGCGCTTATACACTTGATCTGATTGCGCCTCCGAAGTTAACTTCGGAGATCACTCAGTTGCCAACGCTCGAACATAAAAGATTCTTGCGTGATCTGCGTAGTGGCAAAGTCAAGCAGATCTGCATACTCGTCGCTGAAGACGAGTATGTAACCGACATAAGGTCAGCAACAGTGTTTACTGAGAACGAGAGAGTTTCAGTAGTTCATCTATGGACGAGAGTGTCCTAGATGAAAAGACACGAATTGAGCGATATGAGTCCCAATCATGGGAATCGCTCAAGGAAAATCCTCTCTATGAAGATTTGGTTGAATTCAAGGATGTATTCCCTGAAACTGTTCCGTGCGAATTACCGAAGGATAAAGGTATTCGACACGAAGTCGAGCTTAAACCAGGCTCGAAGTACTGTGTCATGAAGCAGTGGCCACTGCCTCGTGAACAGTACTTGCGATCGACAAGTTCTTTGCCGATCGTTTAGCAGCGGGCCATGTGAGGGAATCAACTTCCCCACATAGCTCTCCGACCTTCTGTGTGCGAAAAGCAACAGGAGGGTGGCGGATAGTGCACGCGTTTAACAAATTGAACGCTGCAACGGTACCGGCTCAGACGCCGATACCGAGGAAGGACGTAATCATTGATGGTATGTCAAAGAGTACCATCTTTTCGTCCATGGATTTGATGGATGGCTTCTATCAAATCCTAATGCGGGAACGGGATATACCCTATACCGCAGTTAGCACGCCTAGCGGCATGCTCTGGGAATGGCTAGTAATGCCACAAGGGCTCAGTAATGCCCCTGCCACGTTCAACAGGTGTGTATCACATCTGTTGAGGCCAGTACGAGAATTCGCGCCGAGTTATTTCGATGACGTATTCATCCATAGTCGAGCTATGGATGGAAAGTCGGACGTTGAGGTTCACAAGTACCACGTCCGACAAGTTCTTACAATCATGCGAAAGCATCAATTGTATGTAAACCTCAAGAAGTGTATATTTGCAGCAAGCGAAATACCACTTCTTGGGTGCATCGTTGGTAAGAACGGTGTACGTCCTGATCCCGAAAAGATCAAGGCGATCACCGACTGGCCCGTGCCGGTCGATGTCAAAGGTCTTCGAAAATTCCTTATCTAGCGGCGTATTTGCATAAGTATTCACGCAATTACGCCGAGATGACTGTACACCTCTCTCGTTTGTTGAAAAAGAACGAGAGGTGGTTATGGAACGCTGAATGTCAACGCCTTTTTGAGGGTATCAAGCAGAGCTTGATACAATCCCCAGTCCTAGCAATAGCCGATCAGGACAGGCCATTTCATGTGGTCTGTGATGCCAGCGATTTCGCAATCGGCTGTGCATTAATGCAGTACGACCTTGAAGGCGTTGAACGCGTCGTCTGTTATCAGTCGCGTCAGCTGCAACCAGCTGAGCGGAACTATCCAGTGCATGACAAGGAACTCCTTGCCATGAAGTATGCACTCGCGAAGTTCAGAGTCTATCTATTAGGAGATAGACCCTTCTTGTTGTTTACACTGACCATGCGTCCTTACGCACGGCAGTGAACAGCCCGCACCTTTCACAACGAATGGCGCGGTGGTTGTCATTCTTTGCAGAATACAACTTTACGGTCGAGTACAAACCAGGACGACTTAATGTCGTCGCTGATGCACTCTCACGTCGTCCCGACTTTGAAACAGTCGCGAAACCCAACAGTGAGACAGTCACTGTTGCGGTTATGACGTCCTCAGTTCCATCTACAACGTTGTATGATGATGTGAGGCGGGCATACGCCCAAGATGGTGAGATAGTGAAGTTGTTGTCACATCTCTCCCAACCATCTCGAGAATCGTTGAAACGATTGTCGTTCTGCGTATCGATCTGCATCAGATCGATACACTACTCGTAACGGTTTACTGTACTATACAGCCGTTTCTGGTGACACACCACGTGTTGTCATTCCAGATGATACTGATCTGCGTTTGCGGATCATGTTCGAGTATCACGATGCTCCTATAGGAGGACATCGTGGCCGAGAGAAAACATATCTCACGGTAAGTCGAGACTTTTACTGGCCCCGCCAGTATCAGTTTGTGCGAAAGTATGTTCGCGCATGCGAAGTCTGCCAACGAGTGAAGTCAAGTCCTTCACTGCGTGCACCTTTACAGCCTCTACCGGTTCCGGCTGAGTGCTGGGAATCCATCTCATCGGATTTCGTCTTCGGGTTACCCAAAGACGCACGCGGGAATACGGGTATTCTCGTATTTGTTGACAGATTCAGCAAAATGGTACACCTTGTGGCTGTACCAGAGACAATCACGGCAAGTGGCTGTGCTTGTGTCTTTATTGACACCATCTTCCGACTTCATGGGTTGCCCCGTGAACTCGTATCAGACAGAGATCCACGATTCACTGCTGATTTCTGGCGTTCCGTGTTCAAATCACTCGGAACGCGCTTGAAGATGTCAACATCTGATCATCCAGAGTCAGATGGTCAGACGGAACGTGCCAATCGTGTCCTTGAAGAGATACTTCGAGGATACGTACACTCCTTTAAGAGTTGGAGTGAGTTTTTGCCGATGGTAGAGTTTGCCATCAACAACTCGGTGCATGCGTCCACGACACATACACCGTTTTACGTGAATGGCTTGCGCCATCCGCGTGTACCCACCTTACTAGAGTGTAACTCTGGTTTAAGGGGGGAGGGACTCGCGCGAGCAAAAACCGATTTGGTTCACGCTCATCACGCCTGACGAAGAAGTCATTGCAGCTTGATGCCGATATCGATAACATCGATATCGAAGAAGATGATGCCAGTGAGAGTGCGGAAGCCCTCACTGAAGACAATGATCCCAGTGAGAGTGCGGAAGCCCTCACTGAAGAAAAGGTTGTTGTCGCTGCAGTGCGCTCACAGCACACTGAAGCTAACGAGTCATCAGATGAGTTCATACTGGCTCGTGAAACGGTAGTCCGTTTTGTGCAAGACTCCATCGCCGAAGCGGTGGATAAGCAAAAGCAAAACGCTGACAAGAATGGAAGGGCAAACACTCTTTATTTAATAAAGGTGACTTAGTCCTACTGTCTACGGTTAATCTACCAAAACATGTAGTGACTAACTTGGGTAGCAGTAAACTACTACCCAAGTACATTGGTCCATTTCGTGTATTGCACCGCCTAGGCAATGCATACACGATCGAGTTACCACGTAAGATGCGAACGCATCCCACGTTTTACGTTGGTCGGCTTAAGCCGTACCATCAGTACGCTGCTTCTTCCGATGAAGAACGCCCTTGCGCTCAAGCATCTCGCAGAGAGCCTTGTGCTCCTGATGGTGGGCATCAACAAGGGTCTGAAGAGCAGTTATCTCAGCCCGAGACCGATCAACAATCCCACGAGCTACCCTTAGCTCGTCACGAAGAGATGTCAGAGATCTCTCGTTCTCAAGCTGAGCAAAGGCAAACTCAGCTCGATGCTTCGAGGCAGTGTCCACCATCTGGAGACGCCTATTCCGCTCATGCTCGAGATCGTCGCGTAACCCTTGCGTTACGCGATCAAAGAAGCTCTCGGGAACACACCGATCCACATGATCGTGTGGAGAGCGTCTTTCCTCCTCCTCCACCTCCATTAGAGGACTCTCGCGGTGGCCAGCGCCATCTAGTAGAGCAGCTGTTGAACCACCGCGACGTGAACGGACGTCGGACGAGTTACCCTCGTCCGGTGGCGCGGCTATCCCCCGTCCTGGGATTCTTGGGAGCCCCGCTCCCACTGATGGTTGACGTACTGGGTCTGGTCGAGCAGTACGACGCGACACATCCTGTGCCGCAGAAGGACCGCCGGAGAAAGTCTTCCCGGCACGGTCGTAAAGGGATTTCAGGTTGTCAATCCCTTCGTACATCTCAGTAGAGACACGTACGCGCCACCACGGGCTGGTAAGGAGGTAAGCCTCCTTAGGTGCTCGTGCAGAGTTGTTCACACAACATGGGCACGAGTCTCCCCAAGAGAGGCAGGGTAATCCTTTCTCCCTTGACAGACGATGCAGCTTGTAGCGTGCACCTGTCGGGGTTCGCTTTTCAAACTTATCACGAGCTTTGATAAGTTTGTCGTTCCAAGCGTCACGACCTACATCCTCGAGATTATGGATGTAGGCGTTCCACGCCTGAAGTAGTGAGGGACCATCACGTTTGTGATTCCCACTGTACCATCGATGTCTGAAGAAAGCATCGATGAAGAACTTCATGTTCAGCGCGATAGTCTTTCGCGCTGGGGTCAAGGTGATGAATCTCGACGAATCGAACAATCGTGCCTGATAACGATCACTCGTCGTCGCCGACAAGTGATCCATGACAGATTTAGGAGGCATCCATGCCTTCTTTTCTGGAGCGAGACGCAACACATTGCGGTCCCGCTCTTCCTGCGACGTGCCGACAGAAGTACTGGCACTGGCTGTGAAGTGGTGTCCATTGGAGAAACGACACCACTATTAGCGCCCGAGTCTCGCGACCTCGAGCGCCTTCGTTGGCGATGGTTCATCTGACTCATCAGATGAACCAAAGATGCTGCGACGCAAAGCATCGTCCATGCCACGCTTGGCAGGCGGCTTGGATTCAATTGCCGTCGATACGGATCCGTCATCCGTATCAGGAGAGTACGAGACACCGAGCTCGTACTCTGTGAAGACACGAGTGTCTTCATGACCAGCGCCTGCATCACCAGGTGATACAGGCTGAGTCGATTCAGCAACCGATGGGACATCAGTTGCTGTAGTTTCTGCTTCGGCGTCCGCACAGAGACGAGCAGACGCGCTCTCGGCGGCCTTGCTCGCGCATCGCATGGGCTTGTTTACCATGCGATGAGATGTTGGAAAGTGGACGCGGACCAACAAGTGCAAACCCCGTCCCAAATGATTTGGGACGAGTATCCATTTAGTCAATCAGTCACTAAAGTGACTGATGGTTAGGGGGGGTGATGTAACGGGGTGAATCGTTACATAACAATTTATAAGAAATTGTTAATAGAATATAACTATAAGAGTTATATTCTCAGAATATTGTCATAAGGACAATATTCTGTAGCACTTCCAAGTAGTTCCTAATTGGTTGATATAGGCCATTATATCAACCAACGAAGACGCGCCACGACAGACGCACGCAATGAGTGGTGAGCAGATAACTGATTTACACATTTGTATTTAGACATAGTTAGATGAAGATAAATAGTGATTTATTGCAGACATTAACTATTATAAATACAGTTCTACTTTTTACTCTAACCAAGTACTCGCTTCTTCTTACCGTCTTCCTCTGCACGTACGAGTGTACGTGAAGTTACGAGGCACCGCCTTATTCTGTTATCAGAATAAGTAGCTTGTACTGTCACCAGTACAAGCTTCAGGGTGCCCCGTTACACGTACGTGCAGAGGAAGACGGTAAGAAGAAGCGAGTACTTGGTTGAAGTAAAAAGTAGAGCTGTATTTATAATAGTTAATGTCTGCAATAAATAACTATTTATCTTCATCTAACTATGTCTAAATACAAATGTGTAAATCAACTATCTGCTCACCACTCATTGCGTTCGTCTGTCGTGGCGCGTCTTCGTTGGTTAATATAATGGCCTATATCAACCAGTTAGGAACTATTCGTAAGTGCTGCAGAATATTGTCCTTATGACAATATTCTGAGAATATAACTCTTATACAGTAGTTATATACAATATTCTGAGAATATAACTCTTATACAGTAGTTATATTCTCAGAATATTGTCATAAGGACAATATTCTGCAGCACTTACGAATAGTTCCTAACTGGTTGATATAGGCCATTATGTCAACCAACGAATACGCGCCACGACAGACGAACGCAATGAGTGGTGAGCAGATAGTTAATATACACATTTGTATTTAAACATAGTTAGATGAAGATAAACAGGGGGTTTATTACAGACATTAACTATTATAAATACAGTTCTACTTTTTACTTTAACCAAGTACTCGCTTCTTCTTACCGTCTTCCTCTGCACGTACGAGTGTACGTGAAGTTACGAGGCACCGCCTTATTCTGTCATCAGAATAAGTAGCTTGTACTGTTACCAGTGCAAGCTTCAGGGTGCCCCGTTACACCTATCATAACGCCACGCAGGAAAAGTCTGCGCGGATCAAAATGCAAGGTTTGTGTGAGGTCAAATCACGCAAGTGCAATCCATTAACAAAAAATGCCTACACAGCGAAGAAGCCTATAGCCAGTAAGTTAGGAGCAAGAACGAGCGGATACCGAAAACGATGCTCGCAATAGAAATGATAGTGTTCAAGCCAAACTAACACTAGCTACAAGAATGATGATGCCTGATGACGATAATTGTAACGGGGTAGCCCGTTACATGAAATATAATATTGTCTAGTATGACAATATTCTACCGATATTATCCGAGATGGATAATCCTGAAGGGTGTTATCCCCTTTTGGATAATATTCATTTGCTGCTCCAAGATTGGTCGATATAAGACATAGCAACCATAGAATACCACCAATTACTGCTAGACGCGTGCAATGAGTGGTGAGAGGGTCTTCGTCATAAGACGACGTAGTTTAATACATTTAGATAAAGATTAAAGTTATACTGATAGCTTAAGTGTATCAAATACAGTTCTCTTTTTACCTTTACTTGATCGAGTCGTTCAAGTAGATTAGCTTCCTCTGCACGTACCAGTGTACGTGAAGTTGTGCGGCTTTCCAAACAAAAGGTGCCCCGCACACCTGGTAGCACTTCGTAGTCCGTCCAACGACTACTTAGTGTCCGTCCTACATGAACTATTAATCGTAGAAGACGACGTCTTTTACGTCACACGTGACGGCTACTCCCATCTGAGTGACTCAGAATGGGAGGTAGTCGGCCGCATGAGTGTGCTCATGGGCGACCCCGTCATCAGTGGTATGTTGGAGTCTCTAAGCAGAGACCAGCAACATGCTGCTATTTACAACTTCCTACAAGGGGAACTTGCCGTCGAATGACAGAAGATAGCCTTACTACAGCAGCAAGGCTCTCAAGAGTCGATGGGCGTGCCGATGCACACGCGTCGACCCGAACCTTGAAGATTGATATCTCAAGGGACAAGAGAACCGATGAAGATTCCTTATAAAGATGGTTCGTTGAGTTAGACGATGCCATCAGGAACCTTCACATCGAGGGTAAAGAGATGCAAGTCACTTTCGCCCTGTTAAAATTGACAGGACGAGCAAATACTTGGGCCTTAGGGCTCAAGCTTCACGACCCAAACGTGTTTGAGTCGTTGGAGGTCTTGAAGTCTCGGCTTAAGAGACGTTTGAGCCGCCGAGAGCCGAATTCAGAGCACAGTCTGCACTCTTGAGGCTTAAGCAAGGTAAGCGTGACGTTCACGCCTACGCACAGCACCTGCGCTACCTTGCGAGTAGCGTCTCGGAAAACCCTGTTGATGAGCACACACTCATCAACGTGTTCATCGACGGCCTTATGGATGGGACGGTGAAGACCTACATGTTACAAGAGGACTTCCATACGCAGGAAAGGGCGATTGCGTATGCGGAACAAAAAGACTTCATCCTGAGACAGTCTCAGGCTAACTCGTTAAACTATCGTCCGACAAGGCGACAGGAAACAGGAGGTCCCGAACCAATGGACCTTTTTTACATCAAGAGCGAGAACTCTCGCTCTCTGAGTCACAAGCGAACGGCGAGATGCCATCGCTGTCAGAAGATTGGACACTACGCTTATAAGTGTAGTGTCCCGACAACTGCGACACGTCCAAAGACAGGACGTGATGACCGCCGTTGGCCAAGGAAGGGTCCGAGGCGTGGGTCCGACCATGTCGCCAAGCCGCGACAGCAAGTCGGACCCTCAAAAAACGGTCAGGGTCAGTAGGGGCGGAGCACCCTGCTGATCCAGCAACGTCAAGAGAATTTGCAGAACTCTTGACAAAGATTGCTCCCAACACGCAGTCCCTGTGTGTTACTGCCCCTAGAGATGAGGAGTCCCTCATTACTTTGAAGATCGAAGTGACAAGTGGAATGTCACATTGCGTCCTAGTTTACTGTGGGGCGTCGAACAATTTTATTCGACGCCAGTCGCTAGAAGATAGTAGGTCAAACCATGTTGAGCGAGAGTTCCCTCCAACGAGGATGACGGTGTGCCTTGCTACAGGCACATCCGTAACAGTGAACAAACGTGTAGTGGCAATTCACTACATGCTGGAAGAAAAGTAGTACGATGATAACTTCATCGTAATATATTTGGATGGCAAATTTGATGTCATCCTCGGTCTGCCATGGCTTAGAAGGTACCGGTCATGGGTCAGCTGGCAGCATCGATCCGTGAATATGCCTGCCGTTTCTTCATCGGATGGCCATCTAATGAACGTCTTGGAGCGTCCACAAGCGTGTGGATGTACTACGAGTGAGTGCGATGGCCTCACTTGTGGTACGGTCGATAGTGCGATTGCACAAGATCACAGTGTAGAAGGCCACTGCACTGTGGAACCAGATTCCGGCACCTGTGTAGAGACACGGGCTGCGCTGAAGGTTCACCACTCGAAGAGATCGAGTGGAATGGAACACGGATGCATACCAAGAAGGGTGCATTCGAGAAGAGAGACTAGTGTTGTTCAGGATGGATAACACGTTGCAGCGAGATCGACTATCAGAGAGTCGATCGTAGAGCAAGCCCGCTTGACTGAAAAAGAGTCGATCAAAGAGGACGTGACCGTGATAAGACACGTAACGAAAGAAACCTTTAGCGTTCCTGAGAGCAATTACTCCCGAGAGAGTTATGCTGAGGGTGTGGATCCTCAACCACATGCGGATGTGTTTTCCCAGGAAATCACCGAGTCAGTAAATGTCTTGGTGAATGACGGATCAAGTGTAGGCGCTTAAACGCTTGATCTGGTGACGCCCCCGAAGTCAGCTTCGGAGGTAGTCAAATGCCAACGCCAGAATCTAAAGGATTCTTGCTGGATCTGCGTAGTGGCAAGATCAAGCAGATCTGCGTACTCGTCACAGAGGACGAGTTCGTCGCCGATATTCGGTCAGAACAAGTGTTTGCTGAGAAAGAAAAGGTTTTCAGTAGTTCATCTATGGACGAGAGTGTCGTCAATGAGGAGACCCGGATTGAGTGATGCACGTCTCAATCTTAAGAGTCTATAAAGACAAATCCTTTGTATCAGGATTTGGTGGAATTCAGGAATGTTTTCCTGGAATCCGTGCCATGCGAGCTGCCCAAAGACAAAGGCACTCGGCATGAGATCGAACTGAAACCTGGTTCGAAATACTGTGTCATGAAGCAGTGGCCACTGCCTCGTGAACAGGTCACAGCGATCGGCAAATTCTTTGCCGATCATTTAGCGGTGTGTCATGTGAGGGAATCAACTTCCCCACATAGCTCTCTGACCTTCTGTGTGCGAAAAGCAACAGGAGGGGGGCGGATAGTGCACGCGTTCAACAAATTTAATGCTGCAACGGTACCGGCTCAAACGCCGATCCCAAGAAAGGACGTCATCATAGATGGTATGGCAAAAGTACCATCTTTCCATCCATGGATTTGATTGATGGATTCTATCAGATCCTCAAGCGTGAACGGGACATCCCGTACAAAGCAATGAGCACCCTCATTGGTATGCTCTGGGAGTGGTTAGTAATGCCACAGGGGCTAAGTAACACCCTCGCAACGTTTAACATATGTTATACGAATCTGTTGCGATCATCGAGTTACTTCGACAATGTCTTTGTCCGTAACCGGGCTATGTATGTAAAGACGGACAAGGAGGCTCATAGAATCCACGTCCGGAGAGTTCTTACGCTACTGCGAGAGCATGAGTTGTTCGCGAACCTGAAGAAGTGTATATTCGCAGCGAACGAAATACCACTTCTTGGTTGCATCGTGGGTTAAAACTGTTGTAAATGATACGCCATGGCATGACGTTTTATAAAAGTGTTCTGTAGCTCAGCCGGTTTGGTATGGCAGTACCATCCCAAAGGTCACTGGTTCGATACCGGTGGGGCGTGCAAACAAAAAAGTTAAGCCTTCGGGATCTGGTGTTTGGGGTTCACCAGCACTGTCCTGCCAGATAGTGACGTCCCCCACTTTCGGTACGTTTGGGTGTTTAGAAACGCACAACCAGAATTAGAAACGTACGACTAGACGATTAGTAATGCGTGATGTGGTGATTACTAATGCGCGACTAGACAATTAGTAATGTGCGATGTGGCGATTACTAATGCGCGACTAGACGATTAGTAATGTACGATATAGCGATTAGGAACGCATAGTCGAAGAATCAAGTAGGCGTAGAGTAGCAGCAGACTTTGCGAACTGAGGACCTAAATATATTCACTTTGCATTTTACCAGCTTTGTCCAACGACTTTGGTTATGGGCCAAACCCTGCGGACTCTGCCCAAGACCTCGACCACGCTTTCTCAATGGACGCCATGCCGACCGCCCACATCAACAGGTTCGCCGGAACAAACTTCCATACGTGGAAGTTTGAGATGCAGATGGTGCTGGAGGAGGGAGACCTGTGGGATGTCGTGAGTGGGGAGGTGAAGCTTGAGCACTGCGTGTCGACATTGGGCCAATCAACGTTCAAGAGGAATTCGCGTAAGGCAATGGCGATCATCTGCCTCGCAATGGAGGACTCGCAGTTGCCACTGGTGCGCTCGGCGGAGAATGCGTACGATGCATGGTCGCGTCTGGACGGACACTACGAGAAGAAGAGCTTGGTTAATAAGCTCCTTCTTCGTCGCCGTTTCTTCACGACAATGATGGGAGAAGGTGGTGACGTGCTAGAGCACATCAACAAGCTCAAGACCCTGGCGGAGCAACTCGACGCGGTTGGTGCTCCGGTCAGCGAAGATGACTTGGTCATCACTCTTCTGGCCAGTCTCAGCGAGTCCTATCGATTCCTGATCACGGCGCTGGAGTCAAGATCCGACTCGCTGACATAGAATTTAGTGACGTCTCGTCTGATGCATGAAGACTTGAAGCGCAAGGAGCAAGGTGGAGGAGTCGATGGATCCGTGCATGGGCAAGCTCAAGCGTTCATGTCAAGAGACAACAAGCGAAACGGACGACCAGGTAAGAAGACTGATGCGTGCCACAAGTGTGGGAAACAAGGACATTGGATCGCGGAATGCCCCTCGCGGATCCAAGAAGACGCGGAACGACATCGATTCCAGCGTTCGAACGTGGCGCAAGATGAAAATCTTGGCGATTATCTGTTCTCGGTTGGTGGTGAAGTCGCCAAGTCGATTAACGTGTGGCTGATCGACTTGGGTGCGACGCAGCACATGACGAGCTCCAAGAAGTTCATGAAGATTTACAAGGTCTTTAATCCGGTCGATGTGCACTTGGCAGACGATGGTGTCGTTCAAGCGATCGTAAAAGGCGACATCGTGACGTCAATGAAGAAGCCACGCGGTACCAAGAAAGGTGTGCTCACGGACGAGTGTCAGATCCCGATGTTATCGCGTAATCTGTTCTCCGTGGGTAGATTCACCAAGGACGTCGGGCCAGTCACCTTCAAAACCAAAGGATGCTTCGCGGAGACGAAAGGTGTCAAGTTAAATCTCGGTGCTCGCGAGGGCAAATGGCTTTTCAAACTCTGCATGACGCCAGAAGCGTCTAACGAGAAAGCTTATCGATTCGAAAAGATCAAGAGTGGTCGTGTGCTGGTCAGCCGCGACGCACAGTTTATGGAAGACGTCTTCGACAGTGGAAGACGCGACTGCGTTCAAAAGCCGAATTAGTTCTAGAAGATGAAGAAAGTTCAACGGATGAAGACTCATCGTGTTCCAGCAAAGAAGAAGAAGAAAACATGCGGGATAAATACATGATCTTCGTGGCACTTTACGTCGACGATTTGGTAATCGCGAGCAACAACGACGATCTGCTCAAGTCAACAAAGAAGGCGCTGGGTCATCGTTTTGACATGACGGAATTGGGAAATCTCAAGCATTTTCTCGGTATGTAAGTTGATCAAGATTTCACGGTCGGCACAATCTCGATTCGTCCGTCCAAATTCGTGAAGGATATCCTCCAGAAATTCGGCATGGAACTTAGCAATCCAGTAAAGACTCCACAAGAACCCGGGCTAAAGCTGACAAGGTCCATGTGCGAAGGAGGATGCAAGCACGAAGACACGATGGCAAACGTTCCATATCGTAAGGCTGTTGGATGCCTGGTAGGAAATTGCCCGGATCTCGCAGCTGCAGTGGGAGTGCTCAGCCAGTTTGCAGCGGACCCTTGTCCGACACATTGGCAAGCACTCTAGCGCGTGTTCAGGTACGTCCAAGGCACACAAACCCATGGGATTGAATTTCAAGCCACAAGCAATGACAAGCTTCAAAGATACTCAGATGCAGACTGGGCTGGTGATGTGGAAACTCGACGAAGCACAAGTGGATACGCGTTCCTGATGAACAATGGGTGTATCAGCTGGAGAATCAAGAAACAGCGTACAGTGGCTCTATCGTCTACGGAAGCCGAGTACATGGCGTTGACAGAAGCCACACAAGAAGCAGTATGGATCAAAGCATTTTTGTGTAAGCTTGGCGAGATGAAGAACGACGAAGCAGTCAAAATCTATGAAGATAACCAAGGTTCCATTGCGCTGGTCAAGAACCCCGAGTTCCATAAAAGAACGAAGCATATCGACATCCGGTATCACTTCGTGCGCGAGAAGGTCGCAGACGGTCAAGTGTTGCTACAGTACTGCGCTACAAAGGACATGAAAGCAGATCTCATGACGAAACCGATCTCTGCTGCGCAGTTTGACTATCTTCGAGGCATGTTGGGGATCAAGACACCAAGGTCTGCCGAGGCGAGTGGGAGTGTTGTTAATGATACGCCTCGGCATGACGTTTTATAAAAGTGTTCTGTGGCTCAGCCGGTTTGGTATGGCAGTACCATCCCAAAGGTCACTGGTTCGATACCGGTGGGGCGTGCAAACAAAAAAGTTAAGCCTTCGGGATCTGGTGTTTGGGGTTCACCAGCACTGTCCTGCCAGATAGTGACGTCCCCCCACTTTCGGTACGTTTGGGTGTTTAGAAACGCACAACCAGAATTAGAAACGTACGACTAGACGATTAGTAATGCGTGATGTGGTGATTACTAATGCGCGACTAGACAATTAGTAATGTGCGATGTGGCGATTACTAATGCGCGACTAGACGATTAGTAATGTACGATATAGCGATTAGGAACGCATAGTCGAGGAATCAAGTAGGCGTAGAGTAGCAGCAGACTTTGCGAACTGAGGACCTAAATATATTCACTTTGCATTTTACCAGCTTTGTCCAACGACTTTGGTTATGGGCCAAACCCTGCGGACTCTGCCCAAGACCTCGACCACGCTTTCTCAATGGACGCCATGCCGACCGCCCACATCAACAGGTTCGCCGGAACAAACTTCCATACGTGGAAGTTTGAGATGCAGATGGTGCTGGAGGAGGGAGACCTGTGGGATGTCGTGAGTGGGGAGGTGAAGCTTGAGCACTGCGTGTCGACATTGGGCCAATCAACGTTCAAGAGGAATTCGCGTAAGGCAATGGCGATCATCTGCCTCGCAATGGAGGACTCGCAGTTGCCACTGGTGCGCTCGGCGGAGAATGCGTACGATGCATGGTCGCGTCTGGACGGACACTACGAGAAGAAGAGCTTGGTTAATAAGCTCCTTCTTCGTCGCCGTTTCTTCACGACAATGATGGGAGAAGGTGGTGACGTGCTAGAGCACATCAACAAGCTCAAGACCCTGGCGGAGCAACTCGACGCGGTTGGTGCTCCGGTCAGCGAAGATGACTTGGTCATCACTCTTCTGGCCAGTCTCAGCGAGTCCTATCGATTCCTGATCACGGCGCTGGAGTCAAGATCCGACTCGCTGACATAGAATTTAGTGACGTCTCGTCTGATGCATGAAGACTTGAAGCGCAAGGAGCAAGGTGGAGGAGTCGATGGATCCGTGCATGGGCAAGCTCAAGCGTTCATGTCAAGAGACAACAAGCGAAACGGACGACCAGGTAAGAAGACTGATGCGTGCCACAAGTGTGGGAAACAAGGACATTGGATCGCGGAATGCCCCTCGCGGATCCAAGAAGACGCGGAACGACATCGATTCCAGCGTT